ACTCTGGAAAGGGTGCCCATGTCTGACTCAGGAACAGGAGTTACATCCTTGTTTCCACACTGCAGAGCTTATGTTGTTGCCCCTTACTATGTCTAGCAGCATGATTCCCTTTCAGCTCCATGCGTGTACATCAAACTGGTGTTGACAAGAGGTTGTGAAAAAACTTCAAATCTAATCCTTAGAAATTTCTCTCTGGGCAGGAGTCAGCACCTGGGCTGAACCCACTCTGATGTCTTCAATGGTGTTTTTCTTTTTCTTTCTTCCCCTATGCTGGTCTGTAGATTGCTCAGGGAGATTCCTTTCTCCCATCCTTGAAGATGCTGGGAGGAGAATCCCACGGCCCAGGGACGTGGGTTTCAGGAGCAGGGTAAAGGTGAAGGGTTACTACCCCAGCACTGGCTGTCGAGACTCTATAATCATGACTGATGGGTCTGCGGGGATTTGCAAGTACATAGGTACAGCTTTGTCCAGTGCCTCCTTCAGTCATGCATCCCATAACCAGCCACGCCGCTGGCCCTCTGTGAGCTACTCCCAAAAACCCTTTCTCATGGCTTTCTGTGTGCCACACTGATCTACCTCCTGACCTGGCTGAGCCTCCATCACACCACCTTTCCATTTGCAGGAGATTTCAGCTGTGTCCCAAGCCATGTGGGCTGATTAACCTTCACCACTGCTGCCACTGTGATCTAATGAGCTGATCACCTCATCGCCCCTTTCCTCTTCATTCCTAACAAGCTTCTTGTTCTCATTCTTACCCCACAGGCTTTTGGAGAACTCCTGGGGAGAACGTGGGTCCCGGCCTTGAGCAGTCCCTGGAGGTGTTGGGTTGATTTAGGTGTAGATCAGGGCTGTGCTCGCTCTGAAGATGTCCACAAAGCATTTGGCAGACTGGACAGAGAGCTTTGGGGTGAGCCAAGAGGGCAACACACAGCACCAGGTCCCTGGCCAAAGGGCATGAAGATTACCTTGCCTTCTCCCATGCAAGGGTGGCACCCCAAGGCCACAAGACATCCCTGTAGGTGTGCAGAGTCCCCCTCCAGACAGACTAGCTTGCAGAGAGGACATCTCCCCACGTTCTCCCCGCGTTCTCTCTGGACCATCAGGACCATCCCACGCTTGCGTGTGCTGCCGCCTTCTCTCACCCAGCCCAATTAACCCCAAATTCCTGCTGTGACTGTCCCATTTTGCTTCAGATTCCAGGTTTCCACTGGGTGTCCCTGACATCCCCACACGGTTGGTGTTCTCTGCTCTGGGGCCCACCTCACTGAAGGTGAGCTGGCAGGAGCCGCACTGCGAGAAGGAGGTACAGGGCTACAGCGTGCAGTACCAGCTGCTCAACGGAGGTCAGTGGGCAAGGAGAGGGCTCATCTGGGTGCTGGGAGCTTCTGGTGGTGACATCTTGGCCAGGTCTTCTCTTGGCAACCTGCTGTCGTTGCTTGGGCTGGGGGGTGGACCAGATGACCTCCATCACAACCATCATCTCAGTCAAAGGTTTTGTCGTCACGCTGGATTTGGAAGAAGGATTGGAATATAAGAATGTAATATTTTTACATGAAACTTGGGGGCAGTTCATGAAAACGTGGTTCTCTTTGGTACTGAAAATCTCCAAGTTTTCAAGAAGCCAATGCTAGCCCCAAGCAACATCTGGTCCTGCACTACCCACTGCGTTGGCAAGGTGTGATGGAGGTGGTTTGGGAGGAAGTTCTCTGGCTCAGTTTTCTGGATAGACCATTTGAAGTAGGATTTAGGAGAAAGTCACGGCTCTGTCATTGTGCCTGCAACCCCCCTCTGATGTCCCTGTTCCCTGTGTGTCCCAGGAGAGGTGCACCGCCTCACCATACCCAACCCCAGCCAGAACTCAGTGGTTGTGGAGAACCTGCTGCCCAACCACTCCTACATCTTCAAGGTGAAGGCACAGAGCGAGGAGGGCTGGGGCCCTGAGAGGGAAGGAGTCATCACCATAGAGTCCCAGGTGGACCCACAGAGTCCACTCAGCCCTGTTCCAGGTGAGGTGAATGGGAAGCAGGGAAGGAGGCACTGATGTCTTTGTGGTTATCTACTGGCCTTGCTGTTTTCTCCCCCCTAAACTCATCCTGAAGTGCTCCTTTCCTTCCTTTCATTTAGAAATGGGAATTCATTTCCCATGCGCTCACTTTCTTTTAGCTTTCCAAATGGCTGAGACCTCCCTGCTTCATTACATATATGCCCTCACAGGTTCACCCTTCACGCTGAGCACACCCAGTGCCCCCGGACCTCTGGTTTTCACTGCCCTCAGCCCTGACTCCCTGCAGCTCAGCTGGGAGAGACCACGCAAACCCAACGGGGCCATCCTGGGTTACATGATCACCTGCGAGATGCTGCACGGAGGAGGTATGGTGTCAGGCTGTGCAGAGAACAAGATGCCTCCAGCAAAGGCAGTATAACGGAAGTGGTGGGAAGACTGACCCATAGCTCAGTGCAGCCCAAATCCAATGGAGGTTATTGGTTGAAGGTCAGCGCTGTGCTGAAACAGCAGGACTGGGTGGTGCGATTGCACTGCCAGTGTATGGCACAGTGTTTAGGGAAAGCTGAGACATCAGCCAGCAGTGGAGAATGTTTGCATGTCCACCTTCTTATTGGACGCTCACGGGACAGTCTCATTGGAGACTCTCATTCTGTCACATATGTGTGTGCATTAGGGGAGCCCAGGAATATCTACGTCGAAGGTGACAATCCAGAAACGACCCTGACTGTGCCCCACTTGAGTGAGAACGTCCCGTACAAGTTCAAAGTGCAAGCCAAGACCACTCAAGGCGTTGGGCCGGAGAGAGAAGGCATCATCACCATCGAATCTCAAGATGGAGGTACAGAACCACGTCCTTCTGGAAATGCAGAGATAAGAAAGCTCTCAGAGCAGGGAATGTGCCTTCTGGGCTCCTTTTCTGAACCACTCTGGAAGCCACCATTCTCGTGGTGATTCCAATTTCCATAATCTCCATAAGGAAGGCAATGCTGTGCCTTGTGAGCAAAATGCACTGAATGTGGGGGATGAGAGCAAGACAAATCTCCTGAGCTTACTGCTGGTCCCCACTGAGCGGGGTTGAGATGCTGGAAGCTCCTTGCCATGCCCTGGCTCATTTGTCCCTTCTCCTTCTCCCTAGGAACTTTCTCACAGTTCGGAGGACAGCAGTACACAAGAGAGGTGTACAACTTCCCCATGGAATACACCACCAAAACCAGCATCAGCCATTCCTCTCTGGACCCCCACTTCTCAGGTAGGGACCAGAGGAAGATCTGAACCGTGGTTCTTCCTGCAGAGATACATGATGACCATCTTCAGCCACCTCACTGTGGCTGCCCCATGTTGTCCCCTCAAGGTCAAGGACTCACAGGCTCATGTTGCAAGATGGAAAGTTTGGGAGCTGTTAGGAAATCCTGAGCTGCATCAGGGGTCAGGTGGGGGTTAGGGAAAGGCTCTGCACCAGAGGGCGGCAGGCATGGAACAGTTCCCCAGGGCAGTAGGCATTGCCCCAAACCACCAGAGACCAGGGAGCATTGGGGCTCTTGTCCAACATAGGGTTTGGGTGGTGCTGTGTGGGACCAGGGATTGGACTCACGGTCCTTTCCATCTTGGGATGTTGTGTGGCTCCATGAATCCATCCTCTCGTTGCAGACGGCATGCTGATGACGTCCCAGAGAGTGGAGAGTGCCAGCAGCACCCTCACCAAACAGGTCACCAAAGAGTTCATCAGCCGCACCGTGACGTCCAGCGGGACCCTCACCAAGCAGGTGGAGAGACAGTTCTATGAGGCCTGAGCTGGGACAGCAGGACACTCCATTGGGGCTGACAGAGCTTTGCAGGACCATCCAGGAGGGCTTCACCCAGACTGTGCTTGGGCAGCTCCTCCAGACCTTCCGTGGCACTTTGAGCTCTGCACACTCAAAGCTCACGGTTGGCTCACCAGCTGTGTGCTCACCCTGCTCCCCATCCTGCTCTGCAGCCTCAGTTCTGCAGAATGTACTTGGATCTCCTCCATAAGCAACCACTGCTCTCTCCAATACCACTCCTCAATGCCCACCCATCCAAGCACACCTCCTGCAGCAGATATTCCTCCGTGTCTTCCTTCTCCCCAGATAAATCAAAGAAAATTATTTATTCTCAGGTCCTCAGTTTTGAAAGGATCCCTGCTGACGAGATCCTGATTTATAGAGGGTCACCACTTATTGGCACAGGCTGCCAAGGGAGGTGGGGGAGTCAGCAGCCCTGGAGCCATTGAGGAACTGTTGAGATGTGGCACTGAGGGACATGGTAGGGATGGGGTGGGGTTGGACTGTAGGATCCTATTGGTCTTTCCAGCCTTAATAATTCCATGATTCTACAATTTCCATCTTTGGCCTGGGCTCTATGGCAGCTTGGCTCTCTGCTGGAGATGGTGGTTTTGTTCTGTTCTGTTATACAAGAGCTGCAAGGTAGTGGGTCAAGGTGACATCTGCTTTCTTACTGTGCCTATTTGTGTCTGTCTTTTGCTGCTAACATTGGTACCACACTAGCAAAGCATACCCTTCCATTTGAATAGCACTACTTATGATGGCCTCTGATGCTTTTTTTTTTTTTTTTGCATACAATATTGTACAGTTTTGGTAGTATATATATATATAAATATATAAATGTATTTTATTATTTTATATTAAAACAAAAACCAAAAAATGGAGGTGGACGAGATCTATGCAGAGTGATGAGGATACATTTGGACCATTTGGCTGATGGGAAGCAGTGAGAACAATGAGTTCAGGCCCCTTTGCAGCATCCACATGGATCCATCCAAACGTTGTTCTGCCTATAGCAGAGCACAGCATGCTGCTCCTGGCAGCACACACTCCCTGTGCACACGTGTGCTCTCACGGCTGCGTTGTGCCCCAAGTGTCATTGCTTTTTAATTCTCACCTGGTCCCCAGGGCTGTTGGTGATTCGGGTCAACCCAACAGCAGCTCTGTGCGCTCAATAAATATTTTCTCTACAGTTTGCCTGTTCCTTTTTGTTTTAATTACATTATTCCCCCACCCCCAACAGCAGATGGAGGAAGATGCGCTCCAGGTGTTTGTGCTCCTTGGGAAGGAGGTGATCCCAGCAGGGATGCTGTGCTGGCTTCTCTACAAGGGCAGCACCTTTGCCCCATCGGAGGGTTTGGTGATGTAGAAGGTCGCTGAGCCGCTGTACTTCTCCTATAGGCACAGGAGGAGCATAAGTGCAGATCCATAATGCCAGGAGCATGCATTCACTGCACTAACAACTTTCCCAGCCTGCAGCTACCAGCACTGAGCTCCTCAATGCCTAGAGATTATTGTTCCCTAGATGGATTTAGCCGCCCCAGAGCTCACCTGGCACCTTTTGCTCTTTTTCTCAATGTAATAAAATCTTTTTGCGGTGCTTTGCAGTCAGCACAGTGCCAAACTGCCCCCCAAGAGTTCAGAGCATCAATGGACATGGGGTGCCCCAGCCCCTGAGTGCCTTAGGATCTCAGCTCCACCATCATCACCTGGGGTGGGCATCATCTCCTTGAGGGGTGGCTTGGGGAGCTTTAAGTCAATCTCTGGGCGCTTTGCTGTGGTGTACCTGGATGTGCTGCTGGGCTCTCTCTGCAGCCTCGGCCACCAGCAGTGTCACAGTGCAGCCCCCAAATCCTCCCCCTGTCATCCGGCTGCCATAGACCCCATCGACCTCCAGGGCTGCCGCCACCAGCTGGTCCAGCTCCGGGCAGCTCACAGCATAGTCATCCCTACAATGATCACGCAGAACAGTGGGGTTGGAAGAGACCTTACAGCCATCCCGTTTCAACCTGCAGCCACGAGCTGGTTGTCCCCCCACCATATCACATTGTGTAGAAAATGTAGAAAGCCCCGTGCCGTCACATCCTCACCGCAGGGAGTTGTGGCTCTCCACCATCAGCATCCCAAACGTGACATAATCCCCATCCCGCAGTGCTTGTGCTGCCCGCGCCGTGCGCTCGATCTCCCCAACCACGTGCCTGGCACGGCGGTACACCTCCTCATCCAGCTGGCTCCTGGATGCTGCAGAGACACACACAAACCCTACAGCAAACCCCACGCTGCCTGGAGCCGACGGATGCTCAGTGCCCACCTTCCAGCTCGGCCATGGTGACATCCCGCAGGGTGGTCCTGCCCAGTGCTGCTGCTGCCTCCTGGCACTGGCGCCGCCGCGCGGGGTACTCACTGCCCGTCAGTGTGTGCCGCACGTTGGAGTTGGTGATGAGGACAGCCAGGTTGGCATCACGCAGAGGGACGGGGACAGCATCCAGGGACCTGCGGGGAGGTGACAGCGTCCACCCCCACTGCGGCCACGTGGCACCCAGCAGGGTCAAAGTCTGTGTGGTTTAGGGTGGTGACGCAGTGGAACAGGAGGCCCAAGGAGGCTGTGGATGCCCCATCCCTGGAGGCATTCAAGGCCAGGCTGGATGTGGCTCTGAGCAGCCTGGTCTGCTGGTTGGCAACCCTGCACACAGCAGGGGGTTGGAACCATAGACCATAACGACTTTGCCTGGGCAATCAGCACAAGGAGGAACCATTTCCTTGGATGCTCCAATGGGTCTTTTGGACACTGAGGGCTATCCCCAGCCCCACAGTGGGCTTTTGGGTTGGGGGTTAACACTTCCTAGTGCTCCTGCATGGCTGTGTGTATATCACAGCCATGGGACCAGCAGGTGGTGCCCAGGAGGTGCTGACCTGCAGTCGATGAGCAGCGCATGGTTCTCTTTGCCCATCACTGATATGAACTGATCCATGATCCCGCAGGGCATGCCGGCAAACGTGTGTTCTGCCTGCTGGCACGCCAGAGCCTTGGCCACCAAATCACCATCGTCTGTAGCAGGGAGGAGAGGAGCAGGTGAGCAGTGATGGGATGAGCACCACACAGTGTGCCCAGCACTGAGCCTTCGTTCCTCCCTTGGGAGGATTTTCAGTTCATGGGATGTGGGGAAAGCCTTGCAGGATGAGGTTTGCATTTCTGGGGACATGAGAGTGGGGAGAAGATGCTCCAGATGGAATGCTCCACCCATGGGCTCTAGGGACATGGGCAGCTCAAGTGGGAGCTGTGCCCCGTCCCACAGCAGCGTCTCCCTAGGACCTCCCCAAGGACGATCCCATCCTACAAAGAAATGGGGGCCTCACCGGGGCAGAGCTGCTGCAGGAAGGTGTATGTGGCCACTTCCAGAGAGGCAGAGCTTGAAAGACCACCACCCAGGGGGACATCGCTGGAGATCACAGCATTGAAACCCGGCACGGGACCGCCTGTGGGAACAGAAGGGAAAAGAGGGCTGTGAGTTCCCATAGGGCTTGGGGCTGCCCTGCCCCATGGGGATCCCAGCAGAGGGGAGAGCCCCTTCAACGTCCCATTTTAAATGCATGGTGACCATTGTGGTCACACAGTTCCCCCAAAGCTTGGTCCCAACAATAGCTGTGGGGCGGCAACATGATGCTCCAAAGGGACTTCTGGCGTGCACCAGCCTCCAGCCCACTTGAAGCCCCGTGCTATGAGTGTGACCCTACACGAGAGGCTCTGACCTTACCCCGGTAGTGCTGGATCACACCTTTGACGTAGTTGGCCCAGTGCGGTCTCCCCGGGCTCAGAGGGCGGCTTTGGGTAGGAGCCGGGAACTGCACCCTATGGGGCTCGTCCGCCCCCGGCGCGGTGGTGAGGATGGAGATGGTCCCGTCCTGCGTGGGAGAACCTACCAGCACCGTTCCCAGCTGCAGGGCCTGCGGGGGGCACACGTGCTCGGCGCCAGCCCCACGAACACGTCCCCGGCGGTGTCACCCAAGGGACAGCCGGTCACAGCCCTCTGGACACCGCAGGGCACGTTCGGGTGGCGGCGGGGGGCTGATGCGGGGGCACGGCCCTCCCTTACCATGGGCAGCACGAAGCCGCCGTTGTAGTCGGTGTGCTCGCCGATGAGGTTGACCCTCCCGGGAGCCCACGCAGCCACGGCCGCCGCCCCACCGAAGGCCGCCTCGTACGCCTCGCGGGCGGCCGCCAGCAGCGAGCACGGACCCGGTTCCGCCACCGCCGCCATCGTCTCTCCGCTCCTCCCTGCCGGGCGGGGACAGGCTGCCCGCTCCGCCCTGCTCCCGGCCCCGATCGGAGCCGGCGGCGGCGGCGGGATTCGAACCCGGGGATGTGAGGGGCGGCAGAGCGCGAGTCCCTGTGCGAGACGCGCGCCCCTATAGATGCGTTATGTCTGTTTACACCCAGATCCACATCCATATCCATACCCCTCTATGCTTTATTTTTACTTTATTATCATATTATTATCACTCGTATATCTATGTGTATGGAGATACGTATCTTTATATATCTATGTATGTATGAATATTCCTCTACCTATAAACAAATATATACATAATAATAGAGAATACGATAATACAGAGATAGATACCTACACATTACGTCTATGTTCTTCCCACATACCTACAGATCTATGCCGACGTGTCACGCGCCGAGCCACGCACTGAGCCGCGCACCTGAGCTGGGTGCGCCCCCCCCGGGCCGGGCGGTGCCTCCCGGCTGTGCTGCCCCGGGCCAATGGCCTCCAGGGAACCGCTGCTGAGCGCCTTTAAAGGTGAGCATGGGGTAGGGGGTGCCCCATAGCACGAGCCCCCCCCATTAGGGTCTCCCTGTTAGGGTCTCTACACGGCCTGACTCGCTGGTTGCGTTGCGCTGTGCCTGGCTGGGAGGAAGTTCCCCTGACTTTCCAGCCGGTTTCTCCCTGCTCGGAGGTCCCAGCGTGGCTCCCATGGGTGCAGCTCTTCCCCGGTCCCCACACAGGTGCGGTGCTGCGGCTGCGGGGTGACGGCTCTCCGTGCACCGACGCTTCCCCGCACCTGGCGGCCGCCTGCGCGCTGCTGGAAGGAGCCCTGCGGAAGGGGCTGCGACGTGAGTGGCACCGGGGGGGTGAGGGAATGGAGTGGGGGTTTTGTGTACAGTCGAGGCCCCTCCGCTTGTTTCGTACTGCAGAGCCGCTGTGGGGCTTCAGGAGAAGGGATTATTGGCAGTGCCTGGAGCAGCTTTCCCTCGGGGAGGGAGGGAGGTGAGTGGAGTTGGGGGATGGGGGGGAACAGGGAAGGGCATGGTGGGGTCACCCCGGCTGAAGGGAGGATGTTTGTCCATGTGTTAAACCCCACAGAGCCTGAAGGCTGCCCCAGGGGTAAACCCTAAACTGCTTCCCCTCTCTGTAAGCAGGCTGAATCCCAAAACCCACTATGCTGTCCCATTGGTTAAACCCTAAACCCTTCCCATCTCCCGAAATCCCAACTGCTCTGGATGTTCCTCTATCTATTAACCCTCAAACCTTTCTCTCCAAGCAGACCAAATCCCAAAGGCTTCCATGTGGGTTAAACCTTAAACCCTTCCCTTCTCCCCAGACTGAATCCCAAAGACTGGATGTTCCCCCTTTTGATTGGATGTCAGGGGGAAGCTCTTTCCTATGAGAGTGTTGAGGTGCTGGAACAGCTGCCCAGAGAGGCTGTGGATGCCCCATCCATCCCTGGAGGTGTTCAAGGCCAGGTTGGATGGGGCCCTGGGCAGCCTGGGCTGGTATTAAATGTGGAGGTTGGTGGCCCTTCCTGCGCTTGGGGGGGCTGGAGATTCATGATCCTTGAGGTCCCTGCCAACCCAAGCTGTTCTGTGATTCCTCCATGTGTTAAACCTCAAAGTGCCCAAAAGCTCCCCCATGTGTTTACCCCCAAACCGTTTGTTCCCCTCTCCCCAAGCAAACCACATCCTAAAGACCATAGATCCCAAAGACCATGCATTCTGTCCCCTATGTTAACCCCTCCCCTTTCCCCAAGCAGACCGAGCCCTCTCTCCAGCAGCCTCCATAGAGCCTCTACCTGCACGAAGGCACTGACAGCACAGGGCCGTGGCCGCTGCTTCCTGCGCTCAGCTCTGCAGTGCAAAGTGCTGGCAGTGGCCATGCAGCAGCTGGTGCAGAGCCCTCAGCTCCTGGAGGTGCGACATGTGGGGACTGCTGGGTTCCTGGTGGCTCTGAGGTGGTTTCATGGAGTCTTGTGCTGTGTTTCAGTTCTATGACTCGTCGGGCTCCATCCTGGGTAATGAAGAGCTGCGGGGTAAGATGCTTTGCAGGTGTTTTCTGTGTTAATTCTTGTATCAAGGATGCTCTGAGGGGTGCAAAGACTGTGTGGTCCCTGCACCCCTTAGGAGACCAGGCCACAGCAACAGCCTTTCATCTTGGCTTGGATGAATAACCCCAGGTTAACAGCCTCCCTAAGCGCTGGTGCAGCTCCTCAGGAGGCTGCCAAGAGCTGGCTCTGGGTGCTGCTGGGGAGAATTTAGGGGGGTTGCTCCCTACAACATCATTAGTGATGCTGCAGATTGGCTCCCTGCAGACCTTGGCTGCATCCCTGAGAGACTGCAGCCACTGGGACCCTGCAGTAATGCTGCCTCTGTCCCTTCTCCCTTTGCAGAGCCGTTCCTCTCCCTGGTGCTTGTGCTGACAGAGGTGGATTTCTCCCTGAACCTGCAGGTGCAGGAATGAATGGTGGGGTGGGAGGCACAGCCCCCTCCTCACCAGCACCAACAGCACGGCACTGCTTTGTTCACAGAACTGCAGCTTCTTGGATGAGAGCTGGCTGCTGCCGGTAAGCACTCCCTGCTGCCGCCTGCTCCGGCCCTTGCTGGGATGTCAGATGGGAAAAACAAGCATTGGTTGGGGTTGCAGGGATGGCAGCACAGCTTCAGCCATCTGCAGTTGGAGGGATGCATGTGGAGCTGCCTCTGTGCCGGGGTTGGAGCTTGCTGGGTGCCTGCGCTGTCACCAGGCGCTGATCCAGCATTGCCCTGGGTGTGTAGGACCAAGCCAAGCAGCACTGACATAAATGCAGCTTTCCTGTGCTGCCTTCCCCGCTTCATTGCCAAAAAAATCATCATTTTTCTGGGATGACACGCAGTGCCTGGGTCACTTGATCTCGCTCTTGTGTTCGCTCAATGAAATATCTACGCGTTCCGAGGCTGTGAGCAGCAGGGATGCCTTGATGGCTTCCAGAAAAAATGAAGAGCATCCCTCTGCTGCCTTATAACTCCAAAATAAACCCCAAGGAGTAGCCCAACGCTGGGACTGTGGTCAGGAGGCAGAGCTGCTGCCTGACAGTGTTCATGCCTCAATGGACATGAGTGCTCCCAGCTGAACCGGCTGCGTTTTGGGGCTCTGAGTAATGCGATGTGACAGCAAGAGCTGCTGTGAGCAGCCTGGGGCAGGGGCAGCGGCTGTGCAGGGTGAGGGAGGGGGCTCAGAACTCTTGTATGGGGCTTATTTGCTTATGAGATGAGAGAAGGTGGCTGGAAACTCCTTTATAAGGCTCACTGTGAGCTTTAGGTCGTATCTGTTGGGATCTGTATCTCCAGATCTGGGCTCAACAATTAAGCACAGGGGGACAGGAGGCCACTGATGGTCCTCATCATGTCAGGCACTGGGGAGCAGCTCCTGAAGGCCTGGTTTGGTTTCTGTGCCAGAAGTGACCCCCAGGGAGGGGTCCCCATGTTGCCCTACCCTGGTCACACTGCTGTCACTTCTGCTCTCTTCCAGGTGTGCGTCATGTATGAGACGGTTCCATGCCGAGCGCTGGGGATGGTGGTGAGGTGGTGATCTGTAGACCTGGACGGCCCCAAAAAGGGGCACATGAGGAGATGAGCACCCCCAGAGCTGAGGCTGTGGATGTCTCCGGTGCTTTTCTCCTCTGTTGGTTCCCCATCCATGGGGTGATTGTCCCTCTGTGTATGGGCAAAATGCTGCCGATGGCACAGAAGGGCTGGGGGTGATCTCTAGGGCTGAGCTGCAGCTTGGATGCATCCCACAGGTACGTGGATGGCCGTGTCATTGTCATTGAGGTGCTTCCTGGGAGCCAGGCAGAGGTGGATGAGGTGGTGCTGGCTGGGGACGTCCTAGATGAGATCAATGGATGCTCCTTGAGGAACGCCTACAGCGGGCAGGTGGGTGGCATGACTTCACCCTCCCCACGGTCCTCCCTTCTTGCCTCCCCCTGCATTCTTCTCCCATCCTCCTCTCCAGGCCGGGGCGATGCTGCAGAAGCTGAAGGGACAACCACTGAGCCTCCGTGTGCTGCGGTGGCAGGGGCACGATGGTGAGGTCTATGAGCCTTTGCTGCCCTACCTGGAGGCCGTGAAGAAGAAGGAGCCCCATTTCCAGCTCCAGTGTGGCCCCAGGCGCTGTGACAAGGGGGAGAAGCGGAGGGTGCAGGGGGGCAGGTAGGGTTGGCACCAGGAGGTGAGGGGTCTCTGAGCATCTCCCCCCATGCAACAAGCAGCAGGAGGATCTACAGGTCTCTTTTTCCCCCAGGCTGCTCTACAACCTGCGGTACCTGGGCCGGATCGGTGTTGGGATGGTGAGGAGATGGGCAGAGATGGGTGGTTTTTTTTCTTCTGAGCTTGTTCCTCCATGCTTGTGCTTCTTGCTGTTCCAGTTTGGAGGCAAAGAGGTGCTGCAGAAAGCCATTCCTGCTGTGCTGGAGAGCAGCTCAGCACCACGGGTGAGCGATGGGCAGCAGCGTGTGTCCAACTGGAGAACCTTGGGGAGGCTGAACCCGGTGCTGGGGTGTTTTGGGGCTCAGGAGGCTGCTGCTGGAGCCTCCAGAGGGTTTTAATGAAATTAGCAAAGAAGGCAGAGCACAGCCCTGGTCCTGAGTACATGTGGGCAGAGCGTGGAGCCAGCCCATGGGTGATCTGCTCAGCCCAAGCTGGTGTCCTGAGAGCAGGAACACAGCCACAGCGCTGCTGTTTCATGGATCCACAGTGCTGGAAGATCCTTGGAGGACTGGTGGTCCATGCATTTTTTTTATTATTATTATTATTATTATTATTATTATTATTATTATTTTCATCCTGTTCTTCCCCTTTGTTTTCTTTCTTTTAACCCTGCATCTGAAGCACAATGAAGTTACTCCCTAATTTGCAGTCTATCTCCCCTTTCCATCAATGGAACACCAGCAGCAGGCAGCTCCGTGTGAAAAGCTGCACTTCATCACTCTGCTCTTGAATAATCTGCCTCGCAAGCAATCTTATTAAAAATAGAGCTCAGGTGCTGCGATCACTGGGGCTTTACTTTCCCCTTTCTCCTCTCCAGGAGGTTTTATTTGATGTGAAGGAAACGGAAATCCTTGTACAAGAGAAGGCATCTCCCAGGGTGAGCACAGGACACCCGAGGCTCTGTTTCTGGCTCATGCACTGAATTGCAAAGCCCCTTGTCCCCAATTGCCCCCAATGCAGGTCCTGTTTCGCCACCCCTACCCTGCAGTCTCCTGCGTGGGACGCTGCCTGAAGACCAGCAATGTCTTTGCATTCTGTGTCCTGTGAGCATCCCTGTGCATGGATCCCCTCCCCACAACTGAGCAGGGGGCCCTGAGCTGACACAGGGCTGGGATTGGGCATCCCACCCAATGTGGGGATGCAGGCGTTGGGAGCACAGGGCTGAGGCAGCGTGGCTGCTCGTGGGGTTGCTCTGACATGCTCTCATTGCAGGCCGATGCATTTGTTTCCATATTTAGTGCCTCCTCAGGGAGCCCCAAAGGGAGCACGTTTGACTGCCTGGTGTTTGCATCGAGTTCTGAGCAAGAATGCGAGGAAATCATCCAGAGAATTGGTGAGGGAACGTTTTATTTCTTCAACTATAATTACAGTAAAATGTGGAGTACCAAGAGTTGCCATTCCATTCCACCACATGCAAGAGCTAACTTAATCTTTGTTGAGATCACTGAGTGGATACTTTGATAGTTTGGGGTTGGTTTTCTTTGATTTTATTTCTTTCCTTTAGAGCAGCTAGAGCATTATTTTCAAAAACAGCTTCCAGGCATTCCCAGATGTTTCATTGTTTTCCACTTGGAGGCAACTCTTGTTTTCGAGGGATGCTATTTTATAACACACTTCTCCTCCAGGAGCTCAGCCCGCTGCTGCAATCCAACACCAGCCCAAGCATCAGTAAATCTCACCACTTACAGTTTCTATTTTTGACTTGCCTAAATGCAAAGCTATGCTGCTCCCCGGGCTGGGTGCCCCTCAGGGCTCTTGTGGGATGTCCTTGCCACGTGTCCCCCCAGCAGGCTCTGCTGTCACCTCAAGCAGATTCACCGTCCATTCCTGCCTTTCAGGTGGCTGAGCAGTGCTGGTGGATTTGAGGCAGCCAGCTTGAGGTGCTGCTGGCCACAGCCCAGTGCTGTGAGACAATTCACTTCACCTTTTAGACAGAGTGAAGCTTAGCAGTGAGGAAAATAGCTGCTGAAAAGCTCGAGTCACTTGAAAACACTTTTAGCGGGCGATAAAGGTGGTGAGCAGTGTCTGTATTTGGAGCAGGGAAGGAAGGGGTGCTGAGGCTGTTGTGTAAGAGCCCGTGCTAATGAGCGTTTGTTTCTCCAGCTGCAGGATTTAAACACACCGAGTGGTTTGTCTGATAAGGGAGGGCTGTGGCTCAGCTCTCCTCAGGCTCTGCTGCCCCAGCTGTGCAAGATGCAGGCTCTGGCTCCTCGAACTGGAACTAGGAAGGTTTCCTTATACTTGCAGGACATTGCTGTGGAAGGAAGTGCAGCAAAAGCAGCTGGTCTTTAAAAAAAAAAAATTGCATGGAGAGGCCAGTGCTGACTTCCTGCGTGCCTTCATATATGAACTACTGCTTTTCTTCTTCCTAAAACGTCCCTTTGTCTCGATTTTTCAGTGAAATAAATCAAGCTGGACTAGCTCATAGTACTCCCTGTGCAACTTTTGTCTCAACTTTAGCCCTGCTGGCATAGCCTGTTCTTAAGAACTGGCCTAACAATGTAATTTGCATGTTAATTACCTGCTCCAGCTGTAGTTTGAGCAGCTTTCCGGTGCCACAACTCTGGCTGTTCCCAGAGACTAGTGAGAAAACCAGACCTGTCAGCAGCTAGCCTGCAGGGTTGTCCTCAAGTGCAGGTTTACATCTAATCCCGTTTCATCAAAAAAGCTTAGATGGGAAATGAGACTCTAGCAATTTGCTTAGCAGCCTGGATGCTCTCTGGTTATATAATGAGTGTTTCTGCTTGCTCTGGCATGGCTGCTGCCTTGCCCTTAGTCACAGGCTGAGATCCCACAGGAAGCTGGGAGAGGCGGAGGGCTGTGCTCCCACAGCCTGCATCCGCTCACAGCCCTGACCTGGGCAGATGCTGCTGGATTCGCTTTAGACAAACCAGTCCCACCACTGCAAAAAAACAACAAAACTTCCCTTCAATGTGGAAGGAAGAGGGAGGGGGGGAAAAAAAGCAGAAGTTCTGAAGCTGGGCCTGTGCTGCTGCCACTGATAAGCAGCTAAGCTTCAAACAAGGGAGCCCCACAGGGAGGGAAGAAAGCTGCCTCCTAGCCTGTGCCTGTCAGACCGCTCCTCCTGGCTGAGCAGGAGATGACTCAGGCCTCCTAAAAACATCAAGGGGAGCCAGGGTGAGGCACTGCTTCATCGGCAGAAAGCTAAGCTGCAGCAGCAGTCCAGTATCACAAGCATCTACTGCTACCATACTGGAGCCAGGAATAAGCTTCTCCAAGCCCATACAAACCAAATGACAAAGACTCCTCGCATGTGAATGTAAAACATTTAATTTAAAAATGTTGACACTACAATATATAAAATAGCTATTATAAATGCACATAGTGTATTCTATAGCTGCCAGGTTTACGTTTTAGGAAACTGTAAGTTACACTGTGGTTAAGAGTTGTAGTTTCACCCTCTGAAAAAGTCCACATTTGATCACAGTGATGTATGGTCAGACTAACAGCCCCAATTGTTAAACACTTGGATCAAGTCATAACCAGTTTTATTGCAAAAGGACCCTGTACACATTTATATCAATTCTAGTACCTTACAAGTTTAGCTACCCAACAAGTCATTAACATACAGAAACATGCATGAGAAGCAAGAAAGATCACCCATCCCTTCTGCATATTAGCAACTTGTCACTCCTGAGCAACAAGGCTCACATCACTGAGGTTTATGTGAACAGTCACTTTTAGCATTCATCCTGAGTGAAAGATGGAATGACTTAAGTACAAATGCAACATATTATAAACAATTTCTTACAAAAAAAGTCACAAATTAAAACCAAAGTATTTTACAGAATTTACTACAAAACACCATAAAAACAGCCTTCACTTAAGCTCTCTCTCCCCGTATCCTGCGAGCCAACTGGATATCTTTGGGCATGATGGTGACTCTCTTGGCATGGATGGCGCACAGGTTTGTGTCTTCAAACAGACCCACCAGATACGCTTCGCTCGCCTCCTGTTCCAAGAGGACAAGAAGAAACGTTAGAACCGACGTTAGAGCCTTTCGGCAAAGCCCTCAGCAGGCCACCAGCACTACCTGCAGCGCACCGATGGCCGCACTCTGGAACCTCAAGTCCGTTTTGAAATCCTGGGCTATTTCCCTGACCAGCCGCTGGAAGGGCAGCTTGCGGATCAGCAGCTCCGTGGATTTCTGGTAACGACGGATCTCACGGAGCGCGACGGTGCCCGGCCTGGGTGGAATAGGAAGGATCGGTGAGGCGGGGCACGGCAGCGGCAGCCGGGCCGCAGCACAGCGTGCCGGCAGCCTTACCTGTAGCGGTGAGGCTTCTTGACGCCGCCGGTAGAGGGAGCGCTTTTCCGGGCCGCCTTAGTGGCCAGCTGCTTACGCGGAGCCTTCCCCCCGGTGGACTTGCGGGCGGTCTGCTTTGTACGGGCCATTTTTTCCTCACTTACCTACGAGGACACGCACCCGTCAGGCAGGGCCCGTTTCCCCCCGCTACGGCAACGACCCGCCGGGCCCTGCGATGCGGCGCTCCCCCCGCCTTCGATCTCCTCAAGCCCCAGAAGCGGCAGATGCCGGCGGGCCGCCCCCCCCCCCTCCGCCGTCGAGGCGGGCATGCGGCCAGCGGCCTCCCCCGGGAGGAGGAGGAGTCACGGTTCCTCCTCCGCCCCCGCTCCGCGTTGTGGCCCGACCGCTCCCCTCCCCAGGGGAAGCGCACTGAGTCACGCCACCTCCTCCTTCCTCCCGGGCCACCCCGGAGGAGAGGGGGGATGGGAACCGGCAGTGACTCGAGGCACGTAGACAAGGCCCGAACTATCCGCCAAGCTCAGGGAAAAAAAAAACAAAAAACAAAAACCCACAACCGAGGCTTCCGAAGGCCGCGCAACAACGCAGAACGCGCCCGGCGTGCGTCACTTACCTGCTAGAGAAAAAGGACGCACCGGCGCCGATATCGCTACGCACCGAAGCCTGCGCTGCCCTGACAACAACCGACTCCGTCAGCACCTACCCCCACACTGCGCCCTCCCCGCCGCGGGGACGCGGTTTTTATAGAGGGGGCGGCACACGGCGCGGTGACCTCACAATGCCTGGAAGCAGCGCGCCGCTCGATTGGCCGGGACCTCCGCCGGCGCCGTGACGTAATAAGACACAAAGGCCGTGCTCCTGTTCCTTGGCGCTGATTGGGTGCCTGCCCGGCCGCTGATTGGTTGTTAAAGTCGGCGGCTGATTGGATATTGTGAGACGAGAAGGGGCCAATAGACTTTGGGCGGGCGCTCTGCGCGCTGATTGGACGAAACGGGGCACGGTTTGGATCCTACCCTTTGTTGCAAAGCTCCACAATGGGAAGTCAATAGGAGCGGGGCGAGCGGCGGTGGGGCGCGGCGGGGCGGCGGGCGGCGGACTCCTGGCTCCCCGGACCTCAGCGGGCGGTCCCGGAGCAAGGGCTGCTCGGCCCCGCCGCCTGCCGGCCCGCCCCTCCGGCCTCGCCACAAAATGCCTTTCGCGGCGTGCGGTGCGGAGACTGCGAGCGGCGGGGCCGGTCCGCGCCGTAGGGAACGGCCGGGCTCTCCCCGGTCATGGGGACAGCGGGGACACGCAGACGCTGGGCGCACGCTATGGGCTGGCTCGGCTGGTGTCGGAGGAGAGGTGGAGGAGCTTGTTGTATGGGCTCGCTAAGGGACTGCCCGGTTAGGCACCGTGCAGCTCCAGCCCCATCGCGGCGCTTACAGCGTCCGTCCTCTGGCTTTATGAATGGGAGCAGCCGTATTGTGCGATAGGAACGCTTGCCACAGGATTTGGTTTTGAATCGGGGCAGTCCTACTGATGTGTTGACCTCCAAAAGGCACCGCTGCTCCCTGCCAGCGGGAACGTCACCCTGGGACGTGCGTGTCCTGGGGGAGAGCCTGGTAGTGTGCAGATGCTGCAGCTGGGCCCCTCTGTGCTGCTGTTCTCCACCTCCCTAAAACCACATTCCCACTCACTTTGTGGGTTGTCTTCTAACTCCATAGCTAATTACAAAGTTCTGGGAAGTAGGAAACCAAATCCTTAATGCCTGTTGGTTGCATCTAGGAAGATAATAGCAATTAAGTGAAAAGTTGTTGTATTTTGGAGGAGGTTGCTCCCTCCAGTTGTGCCTTGCTGTATGCTGTTATGTTATTATATTCGCAGCAGCTGCTGGGGGTGGAGGCAGGTCCTGCCCCCATGGTCAGGAAGAACAGGTCCCAAATGCCCTGCAGTTGTAGCACACAGAACATGGAGTGAACGCAAACAGCCACTCCCGAAGGTATCTGCACTCAGCGCGCAGATGCAATCAGGCAGACTTTGCATGAGGTTTTGCATCCTCCCCAAATGCCTGCATCCCTCAGGCCAATGCCTGGTGCAAGAGCAGATCTGTGGCGGCTCCGCACGTAGCGTTCTTTGCTTCTCCCCTTCCTTGCAAGTCGAGCAATGCGCTCCAACACGGTGCTACAGGAATGTCATGTGCAGCTGCTGGGGGGACGCTGCCTCACGTGCATCTATTTTGTCCCCAACCACCTTTGCAGGTTAATTTTCTTTTGGTCCTCGTGAAGAAAAACACGAATTACTTCTCAGAGACAAAAAGCAGCGCAGCAATAGGATGGCCCAGGAGGTGCGTAAACAGTCATTTGCATTCGACGTGGCTTGAAAAATTGAGATCTGAAATAAAGAGCTGCCCTTTAATCCGAGTTGTTCATGCTTGGGAAAAAAGAAACCTAGAAATCTGTTCTGATAGCTTCATGTATTTTAAATTTGATGTTTGTAGAATCGTACCATACTATTGCTGACGTGAGGGGACAAGAGCATGGTGTTTGTTATCAGGAGTTGAAAGGCATTGCTCCTCTGATATTTCCTCTCCTATTTCTGTTGCAACGATTGCTTACACTTCTAAATTTAGACACTTTTGAGCTTTGTTCTCTTGGAATTAAGACTGGAGAAAAGCTCTACGTCCCAGTAGGTTAAACAGAGGATGAGGAAAAGGCGTATGCAGCAAAGCTGAGGAGAGAAAATGAACACTCTGTGTTAGCAAAGATGTGTGTGCAGATAGAGGTAAGTGCACCCAGGGCACACATAGCTGCGTGCTCTGAGCACTGTCACCTGGCAGAGTGCTGCGTGTTCCCGACTGCAAAACAGAAGACAGCTGAAGAGGAAGCAGCATCTGCATTGGCTTGTCAAGTAAACAAAAAAGCAGCACACAATGCCTGGAGTCAATGCTTTCCGAATCCCTGTGCTTCAGCATTAGCAGCTGTTTGTCGAAGGTCTTTTTCCTGCAGCTTCATTGCTGGTGGTGTTTGTGCATTGGACACAGAGATGCATACACATAGGTATTAACTGAAGGACTTCCACGTATACTCTTCTTGAAAAGTTGCCCAACTTGATCAGAAGCTGTATAATTATAGTGCTCCAGCCTCCTGGGGAGGGGCTGTACATGGATGTTGTGTTGGTGGCATATGGCTGAGCCCTGCAGACGCAGGGAAAGAGCTGCCAACATCCCACAGTAGGTGCTGCACCACTGCGAGCAGCAATTCAAAGAGCAGTTTGCCTCAATGGCACAGACCAGGCCTAAGAGTTTATCATTAACACCACCCAACCCCTGCCAAAGGTTTCATAAACAAATACAGGTGCTTGCCATTTAAACGCTTGGTGCCCTTTACCATGCACTGGTGAGTGAAGCTGTCCCATGTGGTGCAAGGGATCAAAGTCCCAGCAGAGCAGCTCGGTGCTTCCTGTGGGGTGGGGTGCCGTTGTCCAGGAGGCTCCGTGTCGAGCACAGCCGGGCCGAGGCACGTAGGCCTGAGCTGACCTGGAGTCCCTGAGGGTTTTGTGTCACCTGCCCAGAGGTAGGCCACCAGCTGCTCCCCAGATCCTCCTCCTCACCTTCCTTCTCCTCACCTTCCTCTTCTTCATCTTCCTCCGTGTTCTCTTTCTCCTCATTTTCCTCCTTCTCAGCTCAGGCCCTGTCACAGACCCGGGCCATGGGCCCCCACCGCACGGGGGCGCCGTCGCGCTCTATCCTGAACTGCAATTCCCGTCATCCCCCTCGCGACCGGAAGCAGCTTCCCCCGCCGCCGCGGAGCGCCACTGGGAGTTGTAGTCCTGACTTCCCGGAAGTCGCCGCGGGCCGCGTCCCGGGTTGGCGGAGAGCGCGCGCGCGGCCGGACTACAAGTCCCACCCCACCCCGCGCACCGGGGCGGCAATGGCGGCGGCGGCGCCTGCGCGCGGCGCCCTCCGTGCGGACCGCGCAGAGTGAATAATAAAGGTCTCCTCGGCGGGAGCGGCGGCGGCGGGCGGGAGGCATGTCCAAGGGCCCGGTAGCGAGCGGCCCTGCCGCGACCGGGCCGGCGAACGCCGCCAGCGCGCTGCAAGCGCAGCCCGAGAAGCCGCAGCACTACACGTACGTAACGAGAGCTTCCCCCGCCGCCGCCGCCCGCGCGCCAACACGCGCCTGACGTCAGCGTGCGGCACGCGCCGAACCCCGCGCACCGCCTCGCGCCGCACCGGCTGCGACCGGCCCTGGGCGGGGGGGGGGAAGGAGGAGGAATGGGGGGGGTTGGAGGGAGAAAGGGGGGCCGGGCGGGGAGCGAGGGGCGGGGGGAGCGGATCCCCCTTTTCTCCCGCCCGCCGCCGCCGCTGCCGCCACGCCCGGCATGCACCGGGGCCCGGAGGGGCGGGGGGGGGCGGGGGGCCGCGTTCCATCGGGCTGCGGCGGGGCCTCGGTGGGATGCGGCCGGCTGACGGCGCGGGGCGGGGGCTGTCAGCGTGTGGGGGCTGTCAGCGAGGGGCTCGGCCCTGTGATGGGTGCCTTTTGGGGGAAAAGTCGGCTGTGGGAGGCGGGGCGGGGGTGTGTGAGGTGAGCCCGGGCTGTGCTGGGTGTTGTGTGGGCACTCAGTGCTCTACCAGGGAATGGCGTAGGGCTGAGGGCTCTGCTGACCCCGCTGTGGGTCCCCACTTATGGGGAGAGGTGACTGAGGAGGGCAGGAAGGATGAAGGGAGCTCAGGTGTTGTCCCGTTGGAAGAATAAAGTTAGAGAGCGTTTGTAAATCAACTTCCCTCCTTGTTCTCCTTGTGCTGCACACCTGTAGGGCAAAACAGCACGGATCTCCCCTGCTTCTTGCACACATTGGTGCCCTGGTGCAAAACTGAATTCAAACTCTATCAGCACAGATTCGTGTGCCTCCTGTAGGGCTGTCAGCTGCACACCCAACCTGGGCTGTGCACAATGTCAGGTCTGCCGTAGACTGAGGGTGGAAATCCTGTGGTGATCCTTACGAAGCTGCAAAGCACGGGTCCACAGGTGGCTTTATTTCTGGTGGTTAAAGTTTGACAGCCCTATAGGAGTGAAGGAGGCAGAAGTGCATGGATGCGTTGGGTCCCTGGACAGGGAAGCGATGGTCAAAGTAAAAGGGAAAGCCCAGGGGAGATGTGAGATGTGACACAAAAATGAGGCTGCGGGGACATCAGGTAGAGGGAAATGGAGATAGCAGCATGGCTAAGCATGGCCGTGGAAGAAAGGATGTCAAAGATCAAGAAAGAAAGAGTGGAAGAAAGCTTAGGAAATAGAAAGAGAAGGAGGAAGATTTGGGACCAAGCAGCTGAAAAGGACAGAGGAGGAAAACAGCGCGCTGTGGAACAAAGGTGATGGTGTAATTAGCTTTATTTCCGGAGGGGAAAAGCACTTATTTGCGGATGGATGCTAAAAATAATTCAGTGAAAACAGTTGGAAGAGCGCTTTAACCATACGTGAGAGATGGGTTTGGGGCTGCAGAGCGAGCCGTGCTTTGGGAATTGTGCAGTAGGTCACATCGTGCTGCAAACTCCTCCTGATAACATATGGGAACTTACTTGGTGGTCGTTGATGTAAAAAAGTTGTATGTTGTCAAAATGTAAATATTTTCTTCCCCCCTTTTTTTTTTCTTTTTTAAATGTAGTTTGTTTCCATAAAGTGACACGAAGGTTACGAGTTGTAAACTCAAGGAAGCTTAATTATCTGCATGCTTTGCTGTTCCCTGGGGACAGGCAATCTGGTACCGTGGATCTCTGGGAAGTTTCTGTTGTATTTATTAGGAAGGGTTCCAATTTCTATATTAGTGTCAATTTCTAAACTCTTGGTATTTGTGTGAGATTTTTAGGTAGTTTGTAATGCAGTTCTGTATCTTGTCTGGAAACCTTTCTGCTTATTCTAGATGTGCAACAAAATAAAAGCTGGACAGAATAGAATTACTGATGATATCCCACTCCCTTTGGTGCAGTTTGCTCGCAGAAGAGGAATCTTAAAGCCCCCTTTGATTACGTCCTTGCTGGCTGTTGCAGGGTGTAGCTGGATGCTCCTGGAGACGTTCTGGTTCCACGCTTCCCTATTGAATTATGAATGTTGTATTTCACACCTGAGGATCTGATATTCTGTTTGTGGAATTCAAGTGAGAGACTCAGCAGCTGCTGTTACACTCACTCGGGTTATTGGATCACAGGTCTGTGGGGCTGTTCCTTGTGATCCCACAGCTGCTGGAGCAGGATGAGCTCTGTGGGTGCCATGGGTGCAGAGTGTGGCTCGTTGCTCAGGTAGCTTTGGTCTGTGGGAGATATACTGTGCAGCTTAGCAGGTCGTGTGTCCTGGGAAGTAGGTTTGCTTTGGGGATGTACCATCAGACCTCAGCTGCTCATTGACTCGGTGCTGTTCTCAGCTCTGGCTGGTTGTTGCAGCTCATGGTTGTTGCTGCGTGCATCTCCGTCTTTAATGTGTTATTACAAATGTGAATAGAGGCTGAGTTCAAAGAAACTGAAAGTAAACCATCAGTCACTCAGTGCTGTAGGTGCTGAGCGCCGCTGTAGCGCTGGGTTTTGGCACACTCTGTCCATTTGGCTGTCACTGTTGTCATTGGTTTTCAGTCAGAGCAAACTCATTAATTGTGAATTATTAAGGCTGTATGCTGCTCGGCTGTTTATTGATCACACAGAATTTAGATAAGTGCAAGCAGAACAGTGCTTTGTTTGCTGTGCATTCACCTGAATGTCAGCTTAATAACTCCGCAGGAAAGGAGATGTTCAGGTGATGACAAATTAACCCGTTCAGTTAGAACAAAGCCAAACAGAAGTGCATTCATTCAGGTCTGTTAAAAATGCATGCATTCAAAAGCAGCACTGAAAATATTCCGAGGTAGGTTATAAACTCCTGGGCACGTTGGGCAGGTCATCCCTACTTGTGATAATTCTTTTGGGTGTGCAGGTTTTAAATACGAGCTGCTGTCTTGGGGACAAACGTGCAGCTCCTGTATGGCTGCAGGCTGTGCCTTCACTCTGGGTCTGGGCCTGAGAGTGCATCCCATCCTTCCTCATGCAGCAGCAGCACAGCTCTGTGGATGTGCCTTTGCAGCTTAAAAGGCAAAACCTTGACTTCTTCAGGAGGGGAAGGAATTGTGGGAAATTCCTGAAGGATTAATGCCATGTACTTTGTGCTCTGCCTGCATCCACAGGGTTGGTTGTGAACTGATGGTAGAGGCTGCTGGGCTGCGCTCACCAGGGCTTTATCTTGCAATCTTTTTCTGCCAGGCGAAAGGAGCCGTGCACTTGAGCTGTAAGTGGTGATGAAAATGAGGCTGATGGAATGTTGTAACTCAAATTAACTTTGTATCCAAGGCGTTCCTGTGTCTGCGTGTTTGAGGAGCGCCTTGCCTAGTGGTTCTCAGCTTTAAGTAGGAACTCGGATTACAGCAGTGACAGAAATGCAGAATGAAGAAGAAATAAGAACAACAAGATCACAGATGGATTGATTCCAATGAGGAGCTTGCAAGCAAAGCCTTACCTATCTCAAAATCTTACATTTAAATTCCTATTCAGAAGCAACAAACACACCTGAAAGCATTTATAGTAGCAGAGAGCAATCCTTATCTTCCTGTCAGTGGACAGTGTTTGATCGCTATCGGGGCAGCACAGTGTGGCTGATCTCAGCTGTACAGACTGGCTGCCTGTGGAAATAAAACCAAAACCCAGGTGTGAAGTGAGCACATTGTCAGTCAGTGCTTTTCTGTACGTGGTTTGCTCTTCTAGGACCCTTAGCACTTGCACTAAAAGATGTGTGCTGTTAAATGATGCTTTGATGTGCCTGGGCTGGCTGGTTTTTGCAATGCAGTGAGGAGGTTAAGTCTTAGGAAATCGGTTTTAGAAGCCTGTGGGCTTCTTAACCTAACAACACTCTGAAATAAGTGTTGAGTCTGAGTGTTGCCCTCATTGCTCTGCTTTTCCTTAGATGAACAAAATGATATGGACTTAGGCAAGCATAAGATCTATCTGTTGTTTAAAAAAGCTGAGAGTAAATGCATTGTTAGACTTCAGAGCTGGTGGTAGAAAGCACAGAGTGAGCTTCTAAACAAGGGATTTCCTATTGGCCTGCTGCACTGCTACCTGTGAGCATTGGTGTATCTCATCAGGCGAGCACAGGCTGCTGTTTATGAGGTCTCTGAAGTTCTCTGAACACGAGTACACTACAAACTGTTATTAGGAAGTACAAATAGTAACAGGAAGTTGGAAATATAAAGTCCTGGAGCATTAACAGGAAGGGCTGCACTCACAGTATGTGCTTGCTGTTGAGTGCATGCACTGGAGCAGTCTGCAGCATGAAAGTCTGCATTTTAGGGTTCTGAAAGCTGACAGCTTTCCGTGCAGCCGTGCTGTGTGTTGCTGTTTAATGCATGTGTGGCTGCTGGAGGGTATTTCTGCATTGTCTCAGAGCAGGACTGGGGCACTTAATGATGGGGTAGTTTTGGGGATCAGCGTTGGCAGGGAATCGTGCCTGATGTTAATGCACGTGGCTTTATTCTAAGGAGAGCTGTCAGTCTCCAGCATTTTACTTCCTTTAGACTCCCCAGAATAAGGCTTCTGATTTCCTATGAGGCACTGGAACGTGCAGCCACCTTCTGGCAGAGGTTCTGACCGTTTTATCTCTTACTGAGAGCCAGAGATGTTAAATTGAACATAGCCATTAGGACACCAGCAGAAGGGGAACTTACACTGAGTTTGTTGTCAGCTCGCTGTCTGTTGGCCAGCACTGCAAATGGATCTTGGTAGAGATCACTCTTTTATTAAGAGTGGTTGCACCGTTCATTAAAGTTAAGTAATTATTTGAACCTCTTTTTATCATTGCATGCCTAGAATTTCTTTTTAGATTAAGAAATGCATCTTGAAAGGAAAATAGTTTCTTGAATCAACACCTGATGAGTATCTGCAGAAGTCTGAATTGGAGTCGATATTGTTTTACTTGTTAATCTTCATCTTCCACATGTCACCACAGTTAATAAAGAAGCAGTCAGCGCACCCAATGTGCTCAGAGGCAGCTTTTCTCCTCTTCATTTCAATCAACTGGGAGCTTTTATTAATAGCACTTTAATGTTACCATCATAACAGGAATAAAAGCAGCAGATGCCTCGGGGCAACCGTGCAGCTCTGCTGCAACAAAAAGAGTTTGCACGTTTAAAATATCTCGAGTGCTACCAGATTAGTTGGGATATGGATTAGTCACACTGCAGAGCTGTGGCATAGCCTGGGGTTTGGCTGCTCTTCCCTGCTTGTGCTGGTGTACATCTCAGTGCTGCTGATGTACCTGGTGTGAGCGCAGGCTGGCGTGGCAGTGCAGTGCTCTTTTGGACCTGCATCTACGTGCAGCTCTCGTGCAGTGTGGGAAGAGTCTGCTGGGCTGCAGCAGGCACGACTGAAGTATGATGTGCTGAACGGGGAGGGAAATCAATGGGATGGCATTGATTCTTTAAAATTGGCCAACAAGAGCTGGCTGTTATCTTTGTGCTGGCACGTGTGTTACGGGATGCGGGTCCGTGCCTGCTGGATAATCGCTGTGTTTTGTTTCAGACTCAAAACAGAAAGTGTCTGTTCACAAACATAAAGCTTTACGGGGAGCTTTGCTGCACATCTGGTTGGCACTTCATCTGGAGAAAAGCAGATCCCATTTTGTGTTCAGATGCAGGCTGCTCTGGATAGGCCATCGTTCCTCGTGGAGCTTTGGTTTTTTGTTTATGGTTCAGATCTTCAAACAGCGATGCACCATCTGAAAGCTGCTGTGAGGACGGGGCTGCAGCTGATCTATGAGCTGCATGTTAAATCACAAAGGCTCTTGGCATATCCGGGAGGGGGAAGGCTACCACGTTGATTTCTTGTGTGGCGACATGTTAAGGGATAGCCTGAAAAAGGCCCATAAAAATCTGCCATGGAAAGCCTGAGCTATGCAATGGTTTGAATGGAAATAAAGCTTTGTTTCAGATTTTTGCCTTTGCGGATTCTTGCGTGCATTTTGTTTCAGGGAGCTCTCAGAGCAGTAACAGTGCTTTTGGAGCAGCCCAGCCCTGTTCCCAGCCTCCACAAGTGTTTCTGCAGTTGCAAACTCCGGCTGGGCTTTGTTGGTGATTGAATGAATGGTGAGAGATGTACCACATGAAAGAAGTTGACTGGAAGCTGTTATTTTAATTTTTACAGCATAGGACATCCACATACTGTTCAGATCTTAGCTCTTTTTTAGTCTAATCCAGCAAACTTGATGAATATTAACTCCATATGAACTCTGTTTCTCAGTGGGCGTTCTCCATGTTTGGGATAGGCTGCAAGCTCTAAAGCCCACGGATGGATGTGTTTGCTGGGTAATTAGCAGTAAAATACTTGCTCGTATTTGAGATGTGTTTTAGTGAGAATTAAAGCAGGTGTGGACCTTTAACAGCATATATCTGTTCATCTTCAATACGTTTGAGGTTTCCTTGCTGAAATAGCTGCATTCAACCCACGTTTAGTTGAGAAGCACTTAGCATCATACAGTATCCCAGGTTGGAAGTGACCCATGAGGATCATTGAGTCAAATTCTCACGATCTTCAGTACTTACACAGATTCTGTAAGGAAGGAATGGTGTGCAGGTAGATGGGTGCAGAGCAGAATCCAGCCCACAGAGAGGGGAGGGTTGTTTGAATTGGGGGTGAGCTGTGCTTGAAAACAGAAGCTTCCTTTAGGCACAGCTGTGTTGTTTCCATAAATTAACAGTGTCAAGTTGGAAATCTGATGGTTAAACTTGGGGGGGATCGGATGTGTTTTCAAAACATTGCATGAGCTGTCTGAATGCTTAGTTAGTGCTGAGGTCGTATCGAATAATTCACGGCCAGCTGATTTGGAGATCAAATTCCATGAAATGTAAATGTCAGCTTCACGTCGAGTTCTGGATCCTGCTGAACGGCCAGGCTGGATGTGGCTCTGGGCAGCCTGGTCTGGTGGTTGGAATCCTGCACATAGCAGGGGAGTTGGAACCAGATGATCGTGGTGGCCCTTTTGTGATCCTATGAATGGCTTTGAAGGCAGTGTGTCTGAAATGCACTGCGATTACATGTATGCGTGCGCCCATCCTTGGATTGTTTTAATTACTAAGGTGAAAGCTCTTGTGTAAAGAGACAGTTGGATTTGAAATGGGTTTTATTGTTATGGATTGGACATACAGCTTTCATGGTCTGCTGGTACAACAGGTTTCTGATTTTTATTTTTTTTTTAAAGAGAGCCAAAAAAAGACTCAAATTATTTAACTCCTCTGGTTTGAATGACACAACTCCACATAGCCCTGCCTGAGGGGTACACGGCTCCAGGGAAGCAGAACAAGCATCTCTTCCCCTCAGCCTCGCAGGCTGTGATGTGGTTGTAACCCAGTGAAGCTTGCATCTTGGCTGCTGGCAAACGGGATGTGATCAATGAGTGCTGATTTATTATTGAATTAACTCAGAACTGAAGGCCTCAACTTGCTTTCATCATCAAGGCAGAGCGTTGGTGAGCTACCCGAACTGCAGCATAGTAGTTCTGTCAAAATGAAGCCATTTTTGGCTGTAATTCTGGAAAGCAAACCGTGTTTTGCCTGAAAGTGGTACAGGGCTGTCTTCCTGCGATGCCTTGGCACCATGCTGTAGGGTCTCTTTGTTTTTTCTTGTTTTCTATGTATAGACAAGAAGCAACTGTTGGATGTTTTTCTTCTCATTGTAGAATTTCATGCAAATTTCTGGCAGTTGCCAGTGTTTTATTTTTAGAATGCACGTGGTTATTTTCAGCAGTCAATTAAAGTGCTCATCTATAAAGTGATGGTGCTATATCATTCTTTCCTTGCAGTTTAACTGAATTACTTGCATTGTTTTCCACTCCGTAGCATGCTTTGAAATCCAAACACGCAGTTGCAATAGCAATCATGTTACAGCTCAATGAGACTGTTGTATGTTTTTGTTGGTTTTCTGTCTTTAGCTTTCTGTAATCTAGCAGTTTGTGCTTTACCTTCTGTGACACGTGCTGTTCTTTAGCATTTCTTCTAGGAAGAAGTTTTTCACCCAGAAGGTGGTGAGGCACTGGCACAGGTTGCCCAAGGAGGCTGTGATGCCCCATCCCTGCAGGCATCCAAGGCCAGGCTGGATGTGGCTCTGGGCAGCCTGGGCTGCTGGTTGGCGACCTGCACACAGCAGGGTTGGAGCTGGATGAGCACTGTGCTCCTTTGCAACCCAGGCCCTTCTATGATGATTAAGCTCTGAGTTCAGCCACATCAATCAGGTGTCCAGGAAAAGGAAAACTTGAGTGCTGCCTACCTATTCCTGCAGCAGAACTGAGGGAGCCAGCACAGGTGGTGTGAGCTATGGGTGCACACACAGTCATCTTGGCCATGGAGGTGCACAGTGAGTTATATATGGACTCTTTAAATAAATAAAAAAAACCTCCACAACAAAACAAGCCCGACTTCATGCATCTGTAATAAGTCTCTCCAACTTTCACTTTCTTTATTTGCCCTTAGACTGACATTATTGTCAAGCTCTAATGGAGAAGGGGAAATCTAACAGCCTTCAAGTCACACGGTGCTGTCTGCTGTGTGACCTTTTTCCAGTTGATGGTTCAATTTATTTAGGTGATAAAGAAAACACTGGGGCATGTGAAGTCTGTCTTCTTGACAGATGTGAGCTTACTGGAACTTTGTCCTCATCCTTTTCTCCTTCCCCACATTCACAGACAGCCCTTAGTTTTTAGAAAGAGGTCCATATATTCTTCTTTGAGGTTTAAATGTTTTCTAATCTTTTCAAGGTTTACCAAAGTGCAGCTGGCTGTCAGCATGCGAAAAGGGCAGCAGTTGTTGGGATGTACTGCAAAGGAAATGTCTGTGTTTTGTGTCAGGTGATGCACAGCAAAAATCCCTCGTGATATGGGGTGTGAGGTTGTAGAGAAACAACATTATGTGGGTATTTTTGTCAAATGGGGGATATCATGAGACTGTATCAGAGCTGTGGAGAGCCACAGCGAGTTGTAAGGGCTGTTGGTAATGCTTTGTCAGGAAACTTTCCCTGAAATCACGATGAAACTGTTCAAGCTTGCTGCTAAAAATGCTTGTTGTTGTTTGTTTGATGCTTAGCAGTGATCAGTGCAATGCTCTATTTCTGCAGTAGGTTACATCTGCTTGTAAGGCATTGGGACCCTGTGGTGGCCAGGAGCAGAAGCCCAGGGCTGGCAGCTTGCTGACCTCCTTGGCATGCTGAGGAATTCCATAAAGACAGAGCCTTGAGTCACCCTGCTGGTCTGCCAGGAGATGTGTAAGGCTGCTGCAGGGAACTGTGAGTGCAAAAGAATTGAATGGCTTTGCACAACGGCCGTTCTTGTCCAGGAATGCCTTCTTTGCCCTAAGAGCAAAAGCTCCCGAGCAATGTCAGAGCTGCATATCATATCGTTTTTCCTCGATCAATAAGGATATGTTAAACAAAAGGTGCATTAGTAGGGTTTTTATTGAGTATGCTGTTGGAATAAGTAGATTCTGTCATGCACTGCTGGCTCATTTCAATTGGAATACCACAGTTCAGTAAAGGAAAATAATTGAGTCGTAGGTTTCTTACTTAAAGTGTGTTAGATATCATCTTTTGTAATAAAATTTTATGAGGGTGAAATGAATTTAGAGAGCTGATTAAATAGGGACAGCTCTTTTCCTTTCCCTCTTGTGTGAGGTTGGCTCTTTGAGCTTCACAACAGCAGTTTGGAAAATATTTTCAATAGATAAGCCTTATTGAATTAGAAACATCTATATCTGCTGTTTGTTATTTTCTCCCGAGTTTTGCAATGCTGCCTGCTTTGCAGACAGCCTGTTGGGTAAGCATGTCGGGTTCACTTCAGATAATTTTATCAGTGTTAACACAAACCGCTCATTTAAACTTTTGAAGCAAAACTGGTAACGTATTTTTTTTTCTCCCTTTCCTATGCTGAATTAGGAAAACTTCCTACAGCTTGCTGTCTGGGCAGTCGGATGCCAATGGGAGTCCCAGTGCAGAGCAGTGAGCACTGTCATTCAGGCAGCAGTGTTCAGAAAGGTTGGCTGTCTGCATGAGCAGTGAGCTGGGACCGTGTGAGGCTTTACGCTGAGGTCTGTGGCGCAGCCTTGTGCAATGCTGTCGGGAAGAGCAGGATGTGACTGGTGTGAAAGTGCCAGCAAAGAGCCCACGGTGTTTCCATGTACTTTGATGCCAATAAAATTGTATTTTTGCTGTTATGATCCTCTGTTAGGAGAAGCAGAGAGGCAGGACTGAAAGAAAATGTGAGCATTTTCTTCCTCATCTCCGAAATCTTATCAGGAAGTTTGATGTTTATTTAAAACAAAACAAAACAAAAACTAGCGCTCTATTTGCAGACTTCTTGGCTAGATTTAACTCTGCAGGGCTTTTTTGGAAAGACCAGTGCAGTTAATCCATTATACATAACTCAACTAGTGATTCCCATGCCAGCAATGAAGTGCAAGCATACGTGCCAGGCTGGACTTCCCAAAAGCAGCCAGACTTGGGCTGATTTCTTAGTGTGCCCTGTGCTGTGTCCTGGAGTGGTTGCTCACTAGAGCTGCAGGGATGGAGCCCCGTGGACACGAGGCACTGCTTCCAGCTCCAAGCCACTGAACTCTTAGAAAGCTGTCCCTACCTGTGGGCTTACACCAAAATAAACAGCGCTGGAACCAGGTGCTATTAAGGGTGTGTTAGTGCTGTGTCATGGATGTAAATGCACACCCATGAACACACCAAATCTAGGTGATACCAGGCTTGATCTTGCTATTATCCTACTTTTACAGGCACTGTCTTAGTCAGGATTAGCCAAACAATTATCTAATGGTTGTCTCTGTGGTGTCATCCTGCTGCAGAGGATTTAGATCCGATTGATTAGCCTCAGTGCTCTCTTGGATCTCCAAATGAATTTTGGCAGGGAGGGAATTGACAGTGAGGAGAAAGGAGGGCTGCAAAGGAGAGGAACTGGCGCTGAAAGATTGCAAATAGGACAGTGTTAGCAGTATGGGAAGGGAAGAGTCATTTTTTTCTTCTTTCTTTTCCATCTTTTCTCCCCAGCCTTCCTGATCCCTCTGCTATAAAGCAAAGATTTCTCCCTTGGTGTCATTGTGAGTCTTCCAGTGATTTCGGGGAGCTCTGGGTAAGGCTTTTAAGAAAGAATTTAGAGCTCAGCTGTCTTCAGGCATTACCAATGCACTTTCCCGAGTTGAGATCACACCAGTGCATGCATGACTTCAGGAAGTTTGGCAGAAAGTTTGCAGCCCTGGATGCAGGTAGCCCTGTGCTGAGCTGCCTGGGCACGCCGGGTGCAGCCACAGCCAAACAGCAAAGCTGCAGCACTGAGCATACAGCAACGGTGAGCAAAGCAAGGCTGCAATCACTGAGTTTGAAAATGAAGCTGCTCAGTTTCTTCAGAACAACTTTTTAGTTTTAAAGTTGTTTGGTGATGTTTGGAAGGGTGTACGTATATATATTTTTTAATTTTATTTTTCAGCTTCCTCTTGCTCTTCTTTGTCCCTGCAGATCCCAGAGCAGCTCAGTCCGTGCAGGCAGAAGGGAGCAGCCTGCAGTGCTGGCTGCAGACACAAGCACTTGCTGTGCTGCCTGGGGAGCAGAGCTGTGCTGGCAGTTGTGAGCAGTTGGCGGTTCTCCTACGGCGTGAATTACAGGGAGCAATTATTGCTCTTTCCCACTTCCCACCCCAGAGGAAGTGGAACGATCTTTTATCCTCCCTAATGCTTCGCCCCTCCTTTAGCCTCTGGGAGTTCTCAAATTTAGTTTAATAACTTCTCCTCTTGTCTTCCTAGTGAAATAAGTCTTCATTTCTAGTTGTGTCCATCCTGCTCAGCTGCGTGCTCGTTTCAGCCTGGTGACTTTGCTGCGTGTTCTTCTGGCCAGCTGTGGCTTATTTGTTTAGAATTGCATTTGTCTTTGTTGAATAGGAATCAGAAATGATAAGCGTTCCTCCGGGAACCTGGGTGTTGCTGTTGACATAAAGTGATATCAGAAGATCAAGCTATGTGCTTGCCACTTCAAAACTGGAGCTTGGAAATGCTACATCCATACACATACAAGTGGAAGTGCTCCTGAAGTGACTTGCAGAGTACTGATGAATCTTCTGTCTTTTAAAAGTAAATACAGGAGTAACTGCTGTATGAAATAAGGGTGGGAATGTCTGCCCCTCCTGTGTCTTCGTGAGACCTTTAGAGAGAAGTTGAGAAATGCAAGCTGCAGTTACTAGAGTTCCCCTTCCTGCAAAGGCACGGCGTGGGGCTGACGTGCTGTGAAATACGTACTGCTGCTCTACATGTTTGAAGGGTTGTTCAGAAATTCCTTTTCTCAGCTCTGTTGGGAAAATACCTGCAAGGACCACGTGCACTGGGAGGATCTGTGTGTTTCTGTTTGGAGCCTTTGCAGAAAGACCACTGAAATATTCATAGCATTCTGCTCTGTGAGCCATCAGTCGTGCAAAGGCTGTGTATCCTTTCTCTGCTCCCAAAGCACGTGGGTTGGACGTCTTTCATGTATTTTAATACAGAGTGGTTGGTTGAGTGGCCTGTGTTCTCCCAAAGGAGACAAAACTCACTTCATCAATCAAGAAAACACAGGGCTGTGAGGCAGTTTACCATTCAGGCCATTGTGGAGAAGGGTAATTTGAAACGTTACAGTGGGCTGAGAAAAGAAAAAGCTGAAGCAGTGATTGAAGGGCTTGAAATGTGTGAGTTAATGTGACTGTGCTGGTTTTCCTCTGTTGGGCTCCATGGTGGATGATGGGGTGCTGGTGGGGGCTTAGCAGCACCTGTTGGCAGGCCTTGCTTTGAAATTAAGAGTGAGAGATCATTTGTTTAATAGACAACATTAAAGAATGAGTTTCTGATGAAGCAAGTTAGGTGTTAAACACTTCTCAGGTGAGCCATTTACTTATGTAATTATCTCTCATTTACATTATAATAAATGTTTCTCCAGGGAGTTTAGCCAATCATGAAATGCAATTAATTTTCAAATGCTCTTCAGCATCAATTGACGCTCCAGAGACCCAAATCCCTCATCAGTGTGTGTGTTTTTAACCTCACCAGCTAAAAGAAGCTGTTTCAGCTTGGCTGGTCGTGCAGTTTTAGTGTTTCTTTTAAGGCTTTTCTGTTTCTTCCTTTTGTGTTTTGTTTTTTAATGGTATTTCATAAAAGCCCATCTCTTGCTAGAGCACTGGAGTGTTGGGCTTGATGCTTTGTACCTGGGTTGTTTGGGTCTGATGTCTCCCCTTGGTTTCCAGAGAACCAGAGACAGCCAGGAGTTGGCCCCAACAGTCCATGTGGGTCCCTTCCAGCTTGGGATGTTCTATGAACCTCATCTCTCCAAGGGCGTGCATGGAGATGTATGGGTAGAAGGGGGTGACTGGTGACCTTGCAGTGCCTCTGCAGAGCAGTCTGAGATCATACTGCTGAAATTTCATTGAATCATCAGAGAATCACAGAATGGTTGGGTTGGAAAGGTCCTCTGCCACAAGCTGGGTGCCCAGGGCCCATCCATGGCACTGGGTATCTGCAGGGATGGAGCACCCACAGGTCTGGGCAGTGCCAGGGCCTCACTACCCTCTGGGTAAAGAATTTCTTAGTGGCACCTCATCTGAATTTCCCCCCAGTTAGCTTAAATCCATTCTCCTTCTCCTATCACTATCTACCCATGAAATCTACTTAATTCACTTTCTAACCTAAATGTTGTTACAAGTCTTAGTGCACTGGTAAGACAAAATAATGTATAGAATTCCACCTTCTAGACCTGTTCTTGACCCAAGAGCTTGGAAAGCTTTTCAGGCATGAATTAATTTTATTACAGTGTTCATTTTTTAAATGAATTATGCTCATAGTGGGGAGCTCCCATTTGAACCAAGTTGGCTTTTTGAAAGTGAAAAGGAACCCAGCAGTGTTGTTAGCCCTTACCTATCCCATGTGAACCGTGTGCTGGCACCATGTTTTCTGGTACTGAGCTTTAGTCCCTGTGCAGCTGTTGTTGTGGGGCTCCTGGTCAGCCCTCAGCCTTTGTGGGTGGAGGGCAAAGCATAGCCCAACTGTTTGGAGGTCGAGAGGAAGGAATGCTGGCAAAATCCACTGTAGGAACGCTCCTGCCACTGATATTCTCTCCTCACAGCAAACAAATAAAATCACTTTTGTTGGATGCGTGCATTTTCCTGAGGCTTTCTTGTCAGCCAGGCTTTCTTGTCAGGGGTAAGGGGAAAAGGATGCTTTATTTATGGATGTTGCTTTCTGAATGAGTCTAGTATGCCGCCGTCTGTAAATACATCTTCAGGCATATTTCCATTTATTTAGAGCCATGAGAGATGGTATCTTGTGGGGATGAATACTTCACAAATTCCTGAACTGTGTTGCATTGCCCCAGAGTACACATATTGCTCCGAACGAATCCCTGTCTGCTCTTACACCACCCTGTTGCTTCCAGCAGGACCCCAGCACTTCTTCTGCCTGACAGATTGCCTTACTAGGCACTTTAACCAGACCTCCAAAGATAAGAGCCCAGAAGATGACTGCTGCGTTCCCCCTGCGTTGCTCTTGGAGCCTCACCTGGTGGGATTTGGGTCCTCCGGCCATCCCTGCATTACCTACAGATACAGCTGATGGGTTTCAGGCAGCGTAGGTTTTGTAAGCACCTCCACTCAGATCACAGTCAGATCATCGTGTTGATCTAAACCATTTTGTAATCCTCTACAATCTGGGTTTAGAGGCTGTTATTAGTGTCACAAATAAAAGCTTGTGGCTTCTTTAGTTCTCGGGATGAAAAGAGGCACGTACTCTCCAAGAGTGACATGTGGAAGTGAAGCAACAGAAGCATCCAGGAGGTGAGGTGTTATCCCCTCCTTAGGAGCGAGTCCTGAGGTCACAAGACTGCAACAGAGAGATGGATTGATGTTATCCTTGTGGTTGATCGTGTGCCTGAAGGAGGAAATAAGATAAACCAGGTGGAAAAGGGAGGAAAAAGTTTCTTATCTGTGTATTTATTTACATCTTTTTCTCACAGTAACTTGAAGCTTTAAAGATGGAAGCGTAGTTTGTGTTTGTTTTTTTTTTACCTGGGCATGTATCTCAAAGCAAGGCAAACCCTTGTTTCCCCAACAGGTCTCCAATTCAGAGCTGGGTATGATTGGAAAGGGGCTTAGGAGTTGTACGTTCTCACAAGCTGTTCCCAAAGTTGGTGTAGTGCCTCTTTGCAATGATTCTGAAAGACGCTGTAGGAAGTGATTTCAGCTGCCTTTAGCACTGATGTTTGGGCTGACCAAGCTGGGCACTGCTCTGCCCCTTACAGACAACCAGCAGCCTTTAGCACTGGACGAAAGTATGCTGGGTTCAGCTCAGGGCTGGGTGCTGCTGGCCTGGCATTGACTCTGCGGGGAACTGAGTATTGCCTCCAGCCTGCAGCCCCTGTGATTCTAAGATTCCTGTCCTGAGTTCCTGTTTTTGCCTTTCTGTCTGCAGTTACCTGAAGGAGTTCCGCACAGAGCAGTGCCCTCTCTTCGTGCAGCACAAGTGCACTCAGCACCGGCCCTACACTTGCTTCCATTGGCACTTTGTCAACCAGCGCCGTCGCAGATCTATCCGCCGTCGGGATGGGACGTTTAACTACAGCCCTGACATTTACTGTACCAAGTATGATGAGACCACAGGAATCTGCCCAGAAGGAGACGAGTAAGTGAAATCTGCACCCTGCTCTGCTGGCATGAAGCTTTTGGGATCAGTCCAGGTGATGATTCCAGCCAGGTCCTGTAGAGATGAGGCAGGTCAGCAGCAAAGCAGCTTTGTAACATACATAACATGAGAACAGATGTAAAAACTGTAGTAGCAATCCGTGTGTGCCAGGCCTGTTGCAGTGATGATGGCAAGAGGGAAGAGTTTGTTTTGTTGGGTCATCCCTGGTCGTGAAGCTGGTAAGCTGAAGTGGAGCAAGATGCAAATGTATGTGGCCGTTTCCAGCAATTAAAGGGTTAACCCAGTAGTACAGCTTCACCCACGTGACAGATATGAAAGATAAATAGTGTAGTCAAACTGTGGTCAAATATAGAGAGTGTTTTATATAGAGATGCTATAGAAAGATGGAATTTCAGTTCGCTTTCTTTGTGCCAGTACAAACACACACAGAAAAAAAGGCTCTTTATTGGGAAAACAATATTTTTTGCCCAATTAAGTAAAGTTCTTGTGGCTGCAGCAAAATGGAATAAATCCCCAGCCTGAGGCCTCTTTCAGTGCTTTCTTCCTTGTTACAAGAGAGCTGGAAGGGACTGGAAATACAACATTTGGGGGCTTTGGCTTCTAGGTCACTGCTTCGTACCTGGCTCAAACTCAACCAATGAAAACTGATGCTATCTCGAAACTGCTGGCTTGTAGTGTTGGCTTAATACTGCAAATACGAATTTCACCTATTCCGTCTCGTTCTTTTTGTATTTCTCAATGTAAATGATATTTTCTCTGCCTCAGAGGGGGAAACAAAACATGAGTTAAAGTAGTGGGGTTGTGATTCTCCTTCCTTGTCCCGTGCTCTGCACGAAGGATGCATCTGGCTATAGATAGACTGTTGCAGCCCTATAGGAGTGCATCAGCAGGAAGCAGTAACAGCATGAAGTCTAGATGGGCTGCTGAGGAAATGGTACGTGCCATGTGATGTCCCTTCAATCATGGCTAGTATATCAGAATGCTTTGACAGTGTCCTTGCTCTTTCCAGATCCCTGGCAGTTACTAGGCTAGAATAACAAGCTGCTGCTGGCTTAGTAATCCAGTTGTCTGCTTGGGAGGGAAACCATTGTATACTATGCAGTGACAGATTTAAGGGTTCTGTGTAATGTTGAAAGGCACAATATAGGAGAGTTGGCGAAAGTATGTCAACTTACAGCATCCTTTATCATCACTGTGTCTTCCAGTAATGTTGAGTTCACTAGCAGTGTGACTAAAGTTTGGCTTTTCTTCCCTTTCTCCTGTACCTCAGATGTCCCTTCTTGCATAGAACTACTGGAGACACAGAGAGGAGGTATCACTTACGCTATTACAAAACTGGAATCTGCATCCATGAGACAGACTCCAAGGGAAACTGCACAAAGAATGGAGTCCACTGTGCTTTTGCTCATGGGCCCCATGATTTACGCTCTCCTGTGTATGACATCAGGTTAGTGGAGCTTATAGCTCTGAATGAAAAGGGTGATTGCTATGCTCAGATGATTGAAGGATCGTACTGCTTCCCAACTACTTAGTGTTGGGGTGAGATGGTGCATCCATTCCTAATAAGGCAAATCTATAAAATCTGCAGGGAGGATCCTCAAAATGGGGGGAGGGAGCACAGTGAAGCAGTGGGGATTTGTGGGTGCATCAAAATAGTGCATCTGGAATTGCTTGGGAATGAAGAACATGTATTGCAGTTGCTGTTTGACAAAGATTGTTCTGCCAAAAAAGAAGTATGAAATAAATATACCCACTTAAGGGTTGTTGCTGTGTTGGTATCACAGTTTTTACTATGTGCTTATCTGTCTCTCCATCTACTCAATCTGTCTGTTGTTCACTTAACACCAAGGGAGCTTCAGGCCATGGAGGCTTTGCAGAATGGTCAGACTACATCAGAAGGTGGCATAGAGGGTCAATCTGCAGTTGCTGCTAGCCATGCTATGATAGAGAAAATACTCAGTGAGGAGCCAAGGTGGCAAGGTGAGTGCCAGTAAGCTCTATGGGACTGAAAAGGTCTGTTTTGTTGTTGTTTTTTTTTTTTGTGGAGTGCATGCTCCTTTCAAAGCTTCTGTGTATCAAATATAAATCATGGTGATCTCTGCCTAACTGGTTGTATTTCTTGCAGATACAACGTATGTATTGGGAAATTATAAGACAGAGCAGTGTAAGAAGCCTCCTCGTCTCTGTCGCCAGGGTTATGCCTGTCCATACTATCACAATAGCAAAGACAGAAGAAGGAGCCCAAGGAAACACAAATACAGGTACCCTGCTCCTGGGTCATCTGTTTCCCAGCTGAGTAGTGAGGTATAGAAGGAGTCTGTAAGGGGAAGGATCTGGGATTTTCTCTGTCAGACTGTTTTTTAGTGTGCCTCCAAGACCTGTCCTGACAGCTGCAATGGACTGTTACTTCTGTCCAGGAGATAGGGCAACAAAGAAGGACTTCTGCTTTAAAGATGAAGCAGTGTCTCTAATAAATAAGTAACTGTTGCTAAATCATGTTACAGCTCTGGTTTTATAGTAAATAGTGACTGTGTTAGTCTTCCCCTTCTCATACAAACTCTTATTTTAAAATAAGCAGTGCAAGGAAGAAAAAAAAAGACCCCTACTAGAAACAAATTTACTGAGCAATGTTTTCATGGGTGAGGAATTCAAAATCATCAAGCTGCTTGTTGTCTGTGCCTAGTGATGGGGATCGTGAGGCACAGTGTGACCAGTACTGTAGCTGGATGTGCATTCCTAACCAGATGCTAAAACTGCCTTTGAGGCACCAGGGTGTTCTCATCACTCAGCTGTCACTGGATTTTTCTGCACGCTGTGTCTCCCTCACCAAGTTTCATCCAAGTTATAAGTCCGTGTTTCCTCTGACACAACAAAGCTTTTGTTGAGGTCTCAGTAGGGTTTTTCCTTAGTTCCTTTTTGAAAAACATAAGAGCAGACCAGAAAGCAAGGAGAGAAAATGCCGTGGATGTTCTCACTTCCCTTCTCCACCCCCAGCATTCACAGAAATTTTTGAATTGGTACAGAAGTCCTGTATTTAAAAACAATAATTAAATATATATATGTGTATATATATAAAAGGAACATTAATACAAAGACATTCAGGAGAAATTGGAATCCTAAGTCAGTTTTCAAAGCAGCCATGTGCTTTCTACCCCTGTTCGGCCCTTTTGGGAAGGGGAAAGGAGAAAGCTTCTCCCTTCCTGATCACTGCTTACTTCTGTGTTGCTTTCCCCACCCCCAGCTGATGTGACTGCCTCTTCTGTGCAAGCATCTGCTGCTGCTATCTGCTTCCCTCTGCTGTTGTTTGAGGGAATGAGTAAGAGCATAAAGAGCAGAGGAAGTAGGTCACAGCAAAAATTCAGACCTGGGAAACAGAACAGTTCCAAGCTGGGAGAAAGAAAATGGGCTTGCCTTTTCCCCAGTGACCTGACTCAGCCTCTTTTCCACATGGCCACACTATAACCCTGGAAACATACCTCTGTAAGGGTATTACGTGTTTTAGGATTAGCCAATTAACTTACCAGCTTTCTATGAATGTACAGTTCTGAAAGAGAAACCAGACCAAGCGTCTCTGACACTAATCACATCAGCTGCTAATTTTGTTAAGTTACATTGGCTCAGGTTGTATTCAGTTTCAGATGAGAACCAAGCCGTGCTTCTTTCACTGAAAAAGGAAGAGAGGGAGGACGATGTAAGAGCAGCACTGTGGGGGCAGGGAAGCAGCAATAAGCCAAACAGATTGTGCAGCTGGGGGGGTGGGCAGCTGAGCCTGTTTGCTGATTGAGGAAGCAAAGCTCAAAACACGTTAGTGTATCTCATACGGTCTATCACTACCTTGTTTACACAGATCTTCACCATGTCCCAGTGTGAAACATGGAGATGAGTGGGGAGATCCTAGTAAGTGTGAAAATGGAGACTCGTGCCAATACTGCCACACTCGCACAGAACAGCAGTTCCATCCAGAGGTACAGTAACCTCCTCAGACCATTGGGTAGCTGAACGGAAAAGCAAACGTATTCCAGGCTGATGAGATGCATAAATGTGCCAGCTGGGAGAGTGTGTGGGCTGCTTGCAGCGTGGTCCTGGGATTCAGAGGAACTGCATGTTGGAAGCTCAAATTCAGCTGCTTGACAGAGGTGCCTTTTCATTCAGTAGATTGGATGGGAAGGGGTAAGAAAAGTGGGTGAAAATGCCGGTCTGCAGGAGAGCAGATACCTGGGTGGGGGAGTGAAAACAAGGTGTGGATTTTAAGCATCTGTTTTTATGAGGAAAAATCTTCCTTTGATGATGGTTGCACTAAACAGTTAATACCCACAGACTGATACTGTAAGCAACCACGCTCCAAGTGAGCATGCCCAGAGAGTTCCAGTGTCCTTACAGGATGTGGAATTGAGACCTTGTCCTGGTCTGCTTCGTGTTACGGTGTTGAAAAGCTTTGTTGGGCTTGTATCAGCCAAGTAACCATTGTCACTGCCTGTCAAACCTGGGGAGGGGGAACAATCCATTTCCCACAGTCATTGTCAATGGTTTGTCATTTTCCTTGCAAATGTGGCTGTAGCTTTCTGTGCTGTTATCTATCAACTGTTTCCTACCTTTTACCACTTCCGTGGAGCTGCAAATGAGACTGAGAATGGATGGCAAATGGTGATCTTTGGGTGAACTGACTGTATGGGGTGTTCTTTGCGTGAACTTAACTGTAATGGGCATATTTTGGTGTTTCCATAACCATAGTGGGTTTTTCTTTCATCGAAGCAAAGCAGTGAAGTGGTGATCCCAAAATCTGTTGGCCTTTGTGCCTTTTATCTGTGTTTCTATTTTGCTGTTAAGTCTGTTCATAGTACTTTTGTACCTGGGCTGCCAGTCACTGTTTTTCCTGTTCATGTCTGGTTGTTTTTGTTTTTTTTTTTTCCCAACCTCAGATCTACAAATCCACCAAGTGCAATGATATGCAGCAGTCTGGCAGCTGTCCCCGAGGACCCTTCTGTGCCTTTGCACACGTAGAACGTACGTGGGCTGATTCTCTCATCTTTCATGGATATTTGAACTATGGAGAGCTTCTGGCCAGAATAGATAGTGTAAAATTTAGGGCCATAAAGCTAGAACTTTTGTGAAGGATTTTCAAAAGCTGAGTATTAACTTGGACAATTCATAGAATCATTATGGTTGGAAAAGACCACTAAGATCACAAGTCCAACCATCGACCCATCCCCACCGTCCCCACTAACCGTGTCACTCACTGCCACGTCTGCCCTTTTCTTGAGCACCTCCAGGATCAGTGACTCTACCACTTCCTGAGCAGCCTGTGCCAATAAATCTGACCATTGGTAAACTGGTGATGGTGTTCTTTTGTGGCACTTTTGTTCGTAGCTAACAGTTAGCTCCTAAGTCCTGTGACTCCTGCTCAGTTTCTGCACTCCAGTCTCACTGTTAAATTTACAGTAATTAGAACAGGTTACTTATAACTCAGTAGATTGGCTCTGATACTGACACAGTTTGTGGCCTTGAGCAGATCTTTGTTATTTGATTATCTTTTGTTAATGGCAGAATTAGTAATTGCTGCCTTTGTCAAAGAATGGTGAGAGTAAATTCCCTACGGTTTTCAGAGTTCCTTTTATAGGAGGCCTTGCAGACAAGCAGTAATTATAGCTAGGGCTGTGGGCTGTAATGGCCCAAGACACAATAGTGCAACTGCTCAGCAAGCTTAAGAGAGAATTTAATCTTAATAACGAAATGGTGTTTAACAAACTCCCTTGTGGATTATGTAGTATTTCTGTTTAGGAGATTGTTATTTATAACCAGATAACTGCACTCAGTACTACGTTCCTTTCAAGTCAGAGTAACATTCTTTGGCCAGCTAGCTCACTGCATCGTGGCTGTTTCTTGTGCCATCTTATGGAATTGCACTTTTTTAGTCCTTTCTTTTTAAGGTGAGCACTGAAATATTCACCTGAAATTTAACAGGAGTCCATTTACTGCATATGCTCTTAGTTTGAGTTTTGCTGGTTGTTAACGAGAGACGTGTAGAAGTCAGTAATTTAAAGACATTGCAGTATAGGTGTGGTGCCAGTTGTGTAGATGGTGTAAAGATGCTGAGCTGTATTAGATGTAAATACTAGAAGTCAATGCCACTTTCTTTTTGTGCAGTTGACAGCTGTATTCCTTTCTGTGTGTGTTACTTCTGGTAATAGTTTGTACCCAGAGCAGATGGAAACTTATCTCTCTCAGCTAATTATAATGTATCCATCAGCTTTGTGCCTAGCACAGAAAGAAGCCTTGCTTAGTTCAAGGCAGCTGAGTGAATAACGTGCAGTTCATGCAAAGAAGATAATTTTGGAGCAGCGTTAACCAACTTAGAGCAGAACGCTCACTGTACAAGTGGTGAAAGTAGAAACATAAGGAATCCTAGCTTAAAAAAAGTAGCTCTTTGTCAGATAAGGTTTCTCTTTGCTTCTGTGCTACTTCTAAACAGATGTTTGTGGAATGTTTCTTCTCTCAGAACTAAGTATTCTTGTTCCTAAATGTCTTGTGGTCTGGTGTAATTGGGTCTCTTTGAGTAATGTTCCACTTGCTTTTCTTCCTTGCAGAGCCTCCACTCAATGAAGACCTACAGCAATCCTCAGCTGTGTCCAGCCCCACGCAGGCAGGCCCAGTGATGTATATGCCATCAGCAGCTGGTGATTCTGTTCCAGTCAGCCCTTCCAGTCCACATGCTCCAGACCTCAGCAATGTAGGTAGCACTGTGGGGAGGCCTTGTCTGTGCTTTATACATCTGGGTTGCTCTGAGCTGATGTACTCCTTTCACCTAAAAAGAGCAATCTTAGGTTTCCAAAGACAGAAGGATATGACATCTTTCTTTTAGATCTAAGCACCATGCTGTTTAAGAGAGATCTTTGTTTGGAACATGCGGTTCAGTAGTTTAGTTTTGTCACTTCACCTATAAAATTTCTCAGCCTTCCTTCCTGTGCAAAGCTTGTTGATATACTTTCAGGAAGGTGGAATGCAACTGTACGTGAAGTCCAACGCCTCCCTTTCTGGAGGTACACATTGGGCTCAGTTTCCAAGTACTCCTTAAAGGCTGTGAGCCAGTATAATCTAAAGTACATAACTACAGTTGAGTTTGTTTACATATGTAAACGCAAAGGCTTGGCCTGTGCACATTGTTTTCTGATATAGAATATCCTCGATTCTCTCCTTCTCCTCCTTAGGAGATGGTTAAACTCTGCAGAATGTTTAAGTCATGCTTCAGAGCACTGATTTTATTCTGGTTAAACATAGGAGAGGTGAGATCTTCAAATGCTGAACGGAAAGTGGAAACACACAAAGGAAGACAAGTGCACGGAATGCCAGAGCACTTCAATTTTGCTGAGGATTTTTTTTTTTCTATTAAGCCCTTCCTGTTTGCATTGCTGTTGAAAAGCTTACACACTCTATCAAATACTTGGTCAAGGTTTCAAGAAAGTTAAACGGCAAGAGTTTAACCCCTTCCAAGCTGACCAGAATGAGGTGAACTCGTTTGGGACCTCTGTTCAGTCAAATTCTCCTTTGAGAAGAAAAATTGATAGTTTGATTTTTTTTATCAGCACCGAAGCCAGCCTTAGTTCTGTTAAATTTGATTGCAAATAAAATTCTGCATAGATCTTGGAAAGACAAGGCATGCTGTGTTCTCTTGGTAAATATCACTAGAAGGAAGTGAGAAACAAAATCCCTGCATCCTTCAAATGAATTGTCTGAATGCTCTGAAAGTCCAGAATTGTCGATCTCTTCCACGTTTAGGTCTTTTTCTGTCCTCAAGCTCTTCAGTCTTTTAAACAGTCTCTTTACTAATCCCTAGATATAAGCCAGAAGGCAGTATGTGTATTTCTGAGACATAGGGCATCTGCATGTAGCTTGCAAACAAATACAGCTTTGCTGGTGATCATTTTTACATGATGAATTAATCAAAGAAAAAGGTCCCTCTAGCAGCCAGCCTCACGTGGCCTGTTCTGTTTTGTATTTGTACTGTAGGTGTGGAATAAATCAGGAACTCTGCCAACTAGCCCCACCTCCACCACAGTGAGTAGAAACTTTGCGACTGTAGGGAAGCACAGACAGCAGAATGTCTGTATAAAAAATAAAATATCAAAATATTGCAGGATATTCCCTCTCTCTAATGCCAGCCCCAACTGTGCCATGTTTGAATCTCTGATAGGAGTAGTTGTCTAAAAGTTGCTTGAAGCACAGTCATGCTTGCCAGTGCAGGCAGGTAACTTCCCATCCCAGGAAAATGGGGTATCTGCACTGAGCCAGGTAGGAGCTTTCTCTAAATCTCCTTTGCTGCTGTCTGTGGCTTCATCTGCAGTGCAAAACTAGCCTTGTTGCATGTGGTTGTGATCCCTGGTTACAGTCCAACGAATAGAAATGTTGGAAATCCTTGTGTTTTGGGGTTTTTTTTTGTCTTCTTTAATGCAGCTGTCAATACTTGGATTGTGCCTGCATTAAAACTCTCAAATTTCCCACTGAAAAACAAAAATAATACAGTATTACTCACAGCTCAAATACGTTTGGTTGTTGTGACTGCCACAGTACCCTTCCAGGTTTCACACTACTTCTCAGAGCACAGATAGGTTCCACAGCACTCTGCAGCCTAAGGGCAGTGAGGAGGGTTTTGGTCAGGTTTAATCATATCCAAGGCCTCAGAAAGAGTAGATGTTTCTAGAGCTGTAGGTTGTCTTATTGTAAGCTTGCATTCCAGTACAAAGTATTGGCAAGAAAACCATAATAGTGGGAATGTATAAATCCTGTCTATCCTGGGGCTTTTTCTTGTTTTTTAATTCCTGTTTTCTGTGAGCTTTTACACTTGTGTTGACTGTCAGTAAAACTGATCCACACAGAATTGAATGAACTCTTCCTGTGATGCCTTTCTTCTTCGAGGTGGTGCCACGAGCTGGCTGTAATTTTCTGACACTTGTTCCTTCTGTTAGATTCTTTGTAGGAACAGCAGTCTCGGAAGCCCATCTAATATATGTGGGTCTCCTCCTGGTGCGATTGGAAAGCCACACAGCCTGGAGAGCATTGGTTTTCCTCCAGATTCAGTAACAGCAGCTGGCAGCTACAAGAAAGCACCGGGGTTTGAGCGAGAAGATCAGGTGGGGGCCGAGTATTTGAAGAGTTTCAAATGCCAGGTTAGTAGGAAGCATGGGCTGGAAGAGTTGGGGGGATGAAGAAGATGGAGAAATTGCCCAGTCTAGCTTGAATGTGTTTTCATTTTTCAAGGAACGAAAAGGAGACAGGGCTATACTCAGTAGCAGTTCTCAGATCTGTGCTTTCGGCATCAGTTTGAGTCTCTTCCATCCCACATCTGTTCCTGTCTGCCCAGCTGCCATCATGTGCTCAGTTTGTAGAAGCTGAGCTGCTTGTTGTTTTCATAATCCCTGACAATTCTGTCCTTTGTTGACCCCGGGTATCTTCCCACATACCACGTCTTGCTCTTTCTTTCTTCATATTTAGGTCCTTGTTAAGAGTTACTGCTTCTTTTGCTACGTTGTCTCATAGAAACTCATCCTTCCTTCTCTGACTTCATTACGGACTCCTACCTTCATCTCCATAATTTGGTTTATCTTCTGCTTCCAGCATTCATCTCTGCACTGTGTTACAAATGTCCTTTGTTTCTCTGGCTGTATCATTCTGATCCTTGACTCTCTCTTGGCTTCTTCTTAAATTCCTTTTTCTCATTTGAAGAACCCTTACCTAATCCACATCCCTAGTGACACACATTGTACCCTTTTGAATACCCCGGTCTTGCCTCGCTGCTTCCTTCTCAAAGTCACGTCTTGCACAACTGCTCCCTGTGCCTCAGTCTCTTCCATCTCTTCTGCCACATTAGCTTTTCCACAGCCAACTTCTTTCTGTGAATTTCCTTTCTTGATGTTATGGTTAAATAGTTTTCTCTGCACCATCCTTTCCAAGTCTGCAGTGTCCAACCCAGAGCTTGGTTTTGATTCCTAACTGGGTTTGTAAATGTAATAAAACAGTAACTATTGAGGGGATGGGTTAGCTACCCTTGTGAGGAGGCACATGCAGAAATGTCTCTGATAAGCTCTTGTTTGTTTTTCTTTTTGTTTTTTTTTAAGAAAAAAGCATATGTTGCTTGAAAACAGAGATAACAATAAATGCTGCCTTCAACCTGGCTACATATGAACTCTTCTTGTAGTCTTAAGAAGCCTTAATAAGCTTTTTGCCTTGCTAGTATTGCACTGCTGTGAGAAAGCAATGGAAATGCCCTGGCCAAATAAGATCTTGCAGAAAGCAGTCGAATTTGGAAGCAGGCTCAGTGGGTTTTCTCTTATTTATTTTTACAACTTTGGGAAAATATGATGAAACTTTGCAGTGGGACCAGTCTCAAACACTGTTTAGTCTAATTAAAATGATTTAGTGACACATACAGATGAAGCTGTATGCACGTAGGCTTTCTTGTAAATGCTTCCATTGTTTTTATTTAAAGCACATGTGAGTTAGGAGATTGCAAATTGGTGCAGCACATCTTTGGAGGTAAAGCGCAGCCCGTGCTGTGATCCTGGCACTGCTTGCAGGCACGACAGCTTGTAGCAGTTGTTTAGAAACAAAAGAAGAAAGCATGTGCTCCTTCTCTGTTGCCTCTGCTGCAAAGGAGGAGTGAACCCAAAGCTGAAGGGCTGAGAGAATCCCTGTTTCCTGCCAGCAGAGGCAGGGTGCCAGGGAGGCCCTGCTTTGGAGAAAATGGGCAGCAAGCCTAAGCCAAGGAGAAAGGAGATGGAGCTTGAATAGAGCTTTTAAAAGGAGCCAGATGATGAGTATTTATGTCTGAGGTCCAAGCTGTGTTACAAAGATACTGTATTCAGGTAGTTTCTTACTCATGTGGCTTTAATTAAGTAAGAAAAAACCTGGTGTTAGCAGCTATTTATTCCAGTCATTAAACAAAAAAGATGGAAGTAATCACAGTTGCCTTATGTTAGGTTCTGAAGACAAAATTAGGTGTCTCATAAGCATCCTGATTAAATTTTGTGTTAATGTATAATTACTTACTTTTTTTAATCTCCAGTAATTCCCTTTGGCTGCTGTGGGCACCAGAGATTCTCACGCATGCTGTAAATTACACTGGTAATTAGGCACTTAACTTTGTTCACTCCTATTTGAAAATTTAAGAGGCATTCGGGCTCGTCACTGCCTAAGATTGCAATTCTTTTCCTCTGTAGAATTAGTACAAATAATTCCTATCTCTATTAGAATGAAAAATGTGTTTGCAGATTCCACATAGTTTGTGGTAAGGCTGAGCCAGCAGCGAGGGCTAAAAATACTGTTCCAAATTCTCGGAGCTGGAAAATGCAGCACTGGAAGGAGCCGAGTGCCACAACCAGGAGGTGTTTGGGAAGTCCAGCAGCCTTGTTCCGTGCTGGTCATACAAGATTCAATTTCATTCATAATTTATGGCCTCTGTTTGCTTTCCTGACTGCCACAGCATGAGCTGGAGAGTTTCAGCCTGCCCTTTGCGTTGCTGTGTCGGTGTGTGCCCTTCTAGAGCTAAAGGAGACTGGCTTAGCAGTGACAATTGCTTTACTCCATTTTACACTGATGTTACCTGGATGCAAGGTGGTGAGGAGTGGGGCTAGCTCACAAATGCATTCATTTTTTTCTTTAAAGGAGGAAAAAAGCACAAAGCTTCCAGGAAGGCTGGGCAGCACTGGAGCCAGCCACGTTGGCAGGAAAACCTCACACTGAGGGGGCACAGCTGTGTGTGCCTTCACTTCAGCTGCTGACATCTGTTGGTAGCACATCTTGTGTTCAGATGAGTGTCAAACAGGGCAGGGATGTGCTGGCTAATCTAGCAGGCATGTTATCAGGCGCACACAGATGCAGTAATGCGGCGCAGCCATTGCACACAAAGGAAGCCAAGCCTGTGGCTGGTGTGGTAGCAGTTTGGCTGTATGTAAACATGCTGTATGCAGCTCGGAGAAGTGTGAGAGAATGGTACCTGCTGCAGAAGGATCTTGGCTGCCTATTTGCCAGGCCTTGACCCTCTCCCCCCCCCCGCCCAAATCTGCTCAAAGGCAGAGAGTTCAGCAGAGAAAACGATCTAATCAGGGAAAATGGGGGATGGATCGTGCTGCTGCTACTCTTTGTACTGCCTGACTATGTCATACCTCTCCAGCACCTGGTTATCTTTTTTTTTTTAGACTGTTTAAGCCAAGAAATCAAGGTGTATTGCTTCAGGCCAGCATGACATCTCCTGCTGCTGTTGTGCATTTTGTTCTGCAGAGATGGTGATGCAAACGATTGAGCAGACGTTGTGCCTCGACCGCGTCTCTGATTCAGATGGAGAGAGCTGGCAACCAAGCAGACCTGACTCTGAGCAGTTACTTTGCCCCCTTTCTGTGTGCAGAGGGTGTTATTGATCTCCCTGTGCATTGCTATTGCACACGTAGCAGCATAGGAGGAGCAGAGCACAGGCTGCAGACGGTTACAGGCCAACAGGCTCCTGAGACCACATCCTTCCCAGCTCTGCCTGGTGTAGCTCAGCGCTGACTGATGTCTTGAGGCAAGAGGGTTGAAATCCGTTAAGGACAAAGTGCTGCAACATCCTGAAGCTGAATTTTTAGCCTGGATAGTGGAAATCTAAATACATGTTGGCAGTTTTGCGATTCCAGCCAGTGTTGATAGCCTTGAGGCCTCTGTTTCAAGCGATGGGAGAGGGATGATTTTGCTTTTAAAATTGGTCTGTTATCACTTTATTTTTGTTGATGATGAAAGGAATTTGATGAGATGATCCACTTTCTTCCCCATAAAATTGCTCTCTTTAATGTTACATCCGTTCTCTTCTTCTAGAAACTGCGACAGGCTAGCTGAGAACTAGGAGGGACTGAGAGAAGACATAATCTGCATACTTTATTTTCCCAAAGCTGCAAAATATTTACATAATTTAAAAGTGCAGTGTGCCTCCCACTGGTTCTGGCCCTATTTTTATTTATTTATTTTAGATACTGTTAGGGGTGGTGAGTTATTTACGGCAAGGCAAGATAAGTCGTACTTGGTCTTGGTTCTTATGATGTCCTTTGTGCCAGCACAGGAGTATAGCAGCACTGAAGAGCACTGAAGCCAACTGTAATTGTGTCAAGTCTTTGCATAACTCCAAGCATAATGTCTTGGTATATAGAAAGCCAAATAGGTTGGAGTGTTCTCAGTTTGCTGCATACTCCTGCTCCCTCAATTCTCCAGTGCCCAAAGCAGAGCATGAGAGAGGTGGAGACTGTGCTTCCCATGGCCTCTCCAAAGGAAGCCAGCACTCAGCCATTCTTAATTTTGCTGCTAATCCCTCTGCTTATATTCTGTTTTGTTTGTTTACTGTAGCAAGCAAAAATGAAGTCCCATTCACTGGAACACAGGAGCCAGGAGCAACCTTTGTTACAGCCCAAACAGGTACAGTACTGCTAGCTTAGTGCTCACGCTGCCACAGACAAGGACAGGAGGTCTCTATGGATCCAGACGACTCTGCAGGGAGCAAATGTCAGTCCAGACACCATGAGGGATGCTTAGCTTGATGGATTATTTTATGAATATGGGGTGATTTGGGGGATGAATTATTTGTGAATGGCTGGGCCTGTGTGAATTCAGGAAAAATGCACAGACCTGGACAGTAGTGCCAGAGAGTGTTCCAGTGTTACAGAAAATAGAGCTGGAATGGATCTCCAGAGTCATCTAAGTTCAAGGATTTGGCAAAGAGAATTTAATATCAGGTTCTAAGTCGTGTACTGAACTAAGTCTGAGTGAGTGATTGTGGGACCCATCCCTATGATTGCATGCAACCTGTGGGTCACAAGAGTTAATTCTGGGGCAGCCTGAAGGATGTTTGTAATACTAGAGGGAAAAAAAGAAGTCGGCAGAAATTAAAGAAAAGCTGTTAATCTCTCCCCCACCCCCAGCCCAGTAGTAGCACCAGCCATCTGTCAGGTTGGAAGCAGGCAGAAACAGGTTTGCTGCTAATCTTTGGCTCATGCCTGCATGTTTTTGAAGGGATTTTTCTATATAGATGTCTTATTTTGTGCATCTTTCCATTTTAAAACTCTCTTTTTTAGGACATACTGGGTATTCTCCCAGTGGGGAGCCCACTGACATCCAGCATCTCCTCCAGTATCACCTCCAGTCTGGCTGCAACACCACCAAGCCCCGCTGGCACCAGCAGCATACCAGGCATGAATGCCAATGCCCTTCCTTTCTACCCAACCAGTGACACCGTTGAGTCTGTCATAGGTAACTTTGCCATTTTCACTTGCTAGTTGGGCTTCCTCAGACGTGGATCACCAGGTATGAGAGCTGGGATAACACAGGTGTTCCAGTGAACTCCAGTTTTTCATCTGTGTCAGTGTTGGCAGATTCCTGAGGCTGTAGGTTTTTTCTGTGACCAGGACATCACATGTTTTCCACAGGTCATTATAGGTGAAATTCACCCAGAGGACAAACAGAAGGCCTCTGCCACTTATTTGAAATGTCAGATGATGTAAAGGGCCTTAGTTTTAGGTTTGTCAAATTGATGAAAAGGGTTTGGAGCAGGCAGGAAATCAACAGGGCATTTTCTACAGCTACAACACTTTATATTCTAAACTGCAAATTTATAGCAAGGACCACCAGCAGGTAGATTGCAAGGACTTGCCCTTTACAGAATGTGGGACAGAGGCTGTAAAGAAAAGGAGAACAGAAGAGTTAAGAGTGGGGAATCATTCCTTTTAGGTAGGTACACTTTTTTTGACCACCTGTTTTTTTTTTTTTAATCCAACATTTCTGAGGTGATCTCATTAATTTGTTAAAAATAATAATAGAAATGAGTGGGCATGAGTGGGATGAAACTATTTTGATCGAGATTAGTGATGAGGTACGTTCAGGTAGATGTAACACTCAGGCATTCATAACCTTTCTTTATTTTTTCTCATCTTTGAACCTCAGAGATGATTTTGAAGTGTTCCCTTCTGCTGGTTTTCCTTTCCAAGCGGCTCTTCATCAAAGTAGGGACAAAGCAGAAGCCAGACCCAGACATTCACAAGCTAGTGCTGTTGCATATTGAGGACGGACTTGAAAGAGCTGTTTGGGGAAGACTTATGGGAACTTCTGTTATTTCATCAAATATTTGTATTTTTTTTTTTAACATAACAATTAGAAGTGCTTTGAGACAAAGAGAAATTGGATCTGGCAAAAAAACCTGAACTGAAAAGCTGCCCATGACACTTCTGCCAAACTGTTGCACAGGACGGATAGTAGGGCTGTGCAGACTGACAAATAGAGAGCAAAGGCTCCTCTGCATGTAGGCTCTTTGGGCCATCCTATCTCTTGAAGTTGTTGGTCCTTTATAACATAATTGGTACCTCTGTGTCTGGCAGAGTCTGCCTTGGATGACCTGGACCTGAATGAATTCGGAGTGGCTGCCCTGGAGAAGACATTTGACAGCAGCACAGTGCCCCACACGAGTGGCATCATGATAGGTACATGAAAGCAACAGAGCTTTCTTTATCTTCTGCCAAGCAGTGTTGCCCAGTCACCTCAGTGGAGCCAGCCTAACGAAGCTCTAAAACCAGTCCCAAATAACATTGGTTAAAAAACAGCTATGATAACAAACTGGCAACCGCTGAGCATCTTTCAAGTGAAAGCTTGCCCTAGTTGACTAGCAGGGCTGAGTTCTTGCCATTAGGCCCAGGTGTCCTGGGGATGTTTCTTAAGACTGAATGGGACTTGCTTGAATTTTTTTTGTTGTTTTGTTTTGGTTTTTTTTATATAGCATGTAAGTAGACTGTAGAAGGTATCTGATACCTTTAAAACCAGTCCAAAAACGATTTGCATCTTAAGCAGAAAATTCTCCTTAGTAGTAACAGGAAACTCAATGACCTGGTAATGCTATCCATCTGTCTCAGAGTGTTGCCATGAACTGCTGGTTTGATTCCTGTAATGTCTGTTTCATCTTTAATGTGTGGAGGTAGGCAGGGGCCTCTTCTATCTGTCTCCATCCAGGGAAAAATGAGATCTCATAGCTTTTCAGAAGTGGTGTAGTTTCTGGTTGCCCTGGTTCTTGAAGATGGGTTTTGATTTGGAGCTAACTTTGCTTTCCTGAAAGTTTCCAAGGGAGCTGCATTACCTGGAGTTGTACTGAGGTGTGGAAGGATCCCTAAAGAATATCACTTCCACTTCCTTTCCAAAGATGAGAGTCTGGTCAGAGAGCTTATTGTGAGAGTGCACTGGTAGCCTTGCTTCTGCCACTGCCATCTGCAGAGGCTTCAAGATCCTCCACACTGCTTTTCCTCTGCTGTGTCAGGGCTGGGTGTTACCTGGTGGTCTTCCAAGAAGGAAGATCAGAAAAGAGTGGGCAGCAGGGCTGAGATCTTCCTCAATGTGTGTGTGGCAGGCAGACCAACCTCTTGAGTAAGGGAAGTGTTTTGTCTTTGGAGGTTAGGTTTTTGTTTGTTTTTCATTACAGATAGGTCTAAACATGCAAATATACCTAAAGCTAGTCACTGATTTTCGAAAGATCAGGTCATGAGCTGGCTCAGCATGACAGTCTTCTCACTGCAGGTTGTTCAGAAGCGTGAAAGGCAGAGGAACGTGCTTTAAAAGGGAATTTTTCATTACCAAGTATTTCAGCAGATAGCAGATGCATCTTCTCTAGACTAATAGGGGCTGAAGTTGGCTCAGAAAACCTTTTGTTGCTTTGGCTAATGATAGAGCAGTGCACTGAACTCTGCAGTCTTACCCTATGTGGCTCGTGGAACAGCAGCTTCAGTGCTCCTCCTAAAGGCTTAGAGGGGAAATCAAACACAGTGAGAAGTGGAGGGAATCCTGAGGGTCTTAGCGGAGAGGGAAGCTGACGCCTTCTGCTCTGAGCTCCTGCGCTGTGCTCTGGCCCATGCTTCATGGTCATACATAGCCATCCTCTCTGTGTGTTCTTTGTCCAGGTGGGAGTTTGCTGCAAAGTTCTGCTCCTGTAAATATCCCCGGGTCCCTTGGAAGCTCTGCCTCCTTTCACTCTGCCTCTCCTTCTCCACCGGTCAGCCTCTCATCGCATTTCCTCCATCAGCCCCAGGGACACTTAAGCCAATCAGAAAACACGTTCCTGGGGACATCAGCTTCTCATGGATCATTAGGTAAATGCCCAGTGTGTGTGTCCCATGTACATGCCTGTCTGTGCCATGTAAGTATTTTCTTTTAAGTTAGTTTTAATTTTAATGTATTATTTCACTGCTGCCATTTATCTCTTCTTCCCATGAGAACAGCAGCAGTACCAGAAGCTGCTTTACCGAGAGCTGGTTAATATCCTGAGAACAAGGGAGCGATTCTCTCTGTTCCCCATGCTTCTAGACTGAGAAAAAGAACAGGAAAAAGAGCTCTGTCCTTTCCTACCAGCAGCATTCTGCTGTGACTTCACTAGGGTTGAGTTCTCAGCTTTGCTGGGTTGAGGTGGGGATTGCACTTTGCTCTTGGGTCTGCTTCGTAGGTTAGGTTGGCTTCTGAACCAACTGAGTTCATTGAATTGTTTTCCATATTTGGTGCAGTGTGGACCAAAGTCAGTGTTCCAGCTGTGTCCACTTTGATAAACAACTGATGGCCTCAAGACTACATGACACTTGCTCTGCTGACTTCTCTGTTTGTAACAGTAAATACTAATTCTGTTTATAGTAGAAGTAAATGCTTCTTCAGATGTGATATGTGCTCTAATCTCTAATATTCAGCTTAACATAATAAAATGATTAAATGCTTTTGTAATCTACTGCTGCATGCATTTATCTGTGTAACTGCATCACTTGTTTGCAGAGGCCAAAGCCATGCTTCCATGCCTTGTGATTCCTATTTGTTTGGCTGTAACAACTTCTACAATTGCAGTAATAAGAAAAGAGACCTCAGAGGGCATCTCTGCTATTACTTAATGGTTTTCCATATGATTTACTGAATGAATATAAGCTGCTGTGTAGTTATTGCTTATCTGTATTGCAGTTTAGTTGGAAAGACCTAGTCCTGGGCTGGTTCCCATTGTGTTAGATGCTCTATGTGCAGAGAAGGCATTCGTGGTCAAAGGGACTTGCTATTTCAAATGTCCAATGAGAGCATCAGGTGGAAAGGGAGTAAAAAGAAGCCATGAGGTGAGCTTGGTCAGCATCACGGCAGCATCTGTGACTTGCCAGAAGCCTGCTCAGTGCTGGACTCCTTTTCAAGAGCTTTAAAAACACAACGTGAGTTGGGGTCCTGTTACAACTTGCTCTCAACTGAGCAGTGAAATGCACCGACAATAAGTGGCTTCAGTCAGTGAAGAGCCCTTCCTGCTCTGCTGCATGACTTGTTTATGCAGCTAAGCCCAGAGTCAAGTCAACTTAGTATTTTTCAGCTGCTGTTGGCTTGCCCTGACTGGGAAGTAGGTTGTGTTGGGTTAGCCTTCAGTGAGAGGCTTGCTTGCAAACACAGTTTGATCTGTAAGATCACAATCTTCACTGCAACAATGTTTGGCAGTGCCCACACACAGTGGGAAGCACCACTGAGTGAAAAGGACTCCTGCATCAAATGGATGCACCAGAGGGAGTCATCCAGCTCTGCCTGTGTGGGAGCTTTCCCTGCCAGTTCTCCCCATGGATGCTTATTTTGTGTAAATGCATTTTGGTTCTTAAAGCTACAAACTTCAGAGTCTGTGCAAAAACAGTCAGCTTTGGTTCAGCTGTTCCTCTGTTGCTTTGTCTCTTAAGCCTTGACTCTCTTCCTGAAAGAGCAATGACTTGAACATCCTAAAATAGGGAAGTGGCTGGTTGGTCCTTCTACAGTGATGGTCACTAATTTTAGGCTAAAACTCTGCAGGGGACTCTGTGTGGCTCCCCTGTGAATTGCCACTGTGACGGACTCCCGGGTCCTAGGGATGAAATAAATCATAGGATGATCTTCTCTTTCCTCTGTGCACATTTTTGAATCCTGTATTTCACAGGGGTAGGGAGGAAATGGGGGAATTGCCAGCACCTGTGACATAACCCTCTCTATTTCCCTGTGAAACAGGTTTAAATGGGATGAACAGCAGCATATGGGAACACTTTGCTTCGGGGAGTTTTTCGCCCAGTACCTCACCTGCATTTCTGTCAGGTCCAGGTGCTGCGGAGCTGGCACGGCTACGGCAAGAACTGGATGAAGCCAACGGCACAATAAAGCAGTGGGAAGAGTCTTGGAAACAAGCCAAGCAGGTATGGGGGCAACTTCTTAAAGAGTGCGGAGGTGTAGGAGGGTGTCTTACGAGCACTGAAGTGTTTGACAGTCTCTCAGGCCCGGCAGTTCGCTTAGATGGATGAGATTTTATTGCTATGCCAATTTTCATCCCATTACCTCTGTGGGCCAACTGTATGGAACTGCAGCCCAACTGGAGGGGTACCCAGAATGTGAGGCAAAGCACGATGGGGTTTCAGAATTTGGGAACTGGGCAGGTTGATCAGAATACATTCCTGGGAAGGAGTGCATGGAAATGGTTATTTTTGCCCTGGATTCTCGCTTGGAGGCTGATCAAGTATTTAAACAGCTTCTTTTACCATGTTGGTTGGAATTTGCAGGCTTGTGATGCTTGGAAAAAGGAGGCAGAGGAAGCAAACGATCGCGCCAACACAGCTAACATGGAATGTGAACTGGCTCGGGAGCAGAGGGAAGCCTTGGAACTGCAAGTGAAGAAACTACAGGAGGAGCTGGAGAGGATCCACACAGGCCAGGACCCTCAGTTTCTGCGCTCCTTCTCTGACCTGGAAACCCTCTCACTCTCTTCACTTTACACCCTCCAGAAGCAGTTGCGGGCAAACCTGGAGAAGGTCGATAAGGTGAGTGGCAGGGCTCTGCAGGGGGTGGCTTTGCTGCCTCTGCTCCTACTGATAGCAGCTGCCCTGCTTTTCTGTACTACTGCCAGCAATCAGCAGCCTATGGAAGCAGTTCTATGTGAATGTAGCCAGTGTGAGTTCTAGGAAAATAGAATTCTCTTCTCTGTACCTAAGGAAACTGAATTTCCAGTCCATCAGAACTGCTCTGATCCTAATGCTCCTACAGGAGGGCATCGTGCTGCGCCGCGAGGCGAACGGGTGTTGCGGTTCCCCAGCCCGTGCAGCACGTGGCCCTGTTGTTTTCCCCATGCAACGCTTACGTTTTGCCCTGTGCTGGTCTCTCGCAGGCAGTATTTCAGATGCAGTCAGTGAAATGCCTTAAGTGTCAGGAGGAGAACCGCGTGGTGTTACCGTGCCAACACGCCGTGCTGTGCGAGACGTGCGCCGAGGAGGGCGAGTGCCCCATCTGCCACCCCAACAGGCCCCACGCCCTGCAGTCGTGACCTTCCCAGGACGTTTGTTCTGATCATATCATAGAACTTTTTAACTTTATACGTACGTACATATATATGTATGTGTACATATATATATGTATGTGTAGATATATCTATGTATGTGTGTATGTGCGTGTCTGTGTATGTGTGTATATGCACACGCACGCACGTACCCGCAGAAAACAGAAATTAGTTGCAGAGCACTTTTTAATATTTTACATCCCGTATCTAAGCTGCCCCTCACCCGTGCCCCACTAATTCTAACTCTTGAGGAACTTTGAGAGCTGTTTTTAATACAGATCAAAGGGCCATTTGCAAAGAGTCTGCGTTTCTCCTCTTTTCTATTTAGGTGATAACAAATTTTTGACTATTTCCAGAAGGATTTAGAGTGGGCAAGAGGGGCTTCCACGTGCTTTCCAGAGGAAAGAGTTGAGATCGTGGGGAGGATCGAGGTGGATTGAAATGACTGTTTCACGTCTTCGGTCTCCCTGCTCTTTCACTGACCCAGCTTGGTTAAAGCCGTCCTCCCCGATGGAAGCTCTGCTGGGTCCCTGCCTGGTGGGCCTCACGTTGCTGATCTCTGAATGTGCAGAAACTTTGTCTGTCGTTTAAAACAGCAAAGTTCACTTTTTAAAGTTTTTTACACTCTTTGTATATTTATATGAAAAGAAGAAAAGGGGGGAAAAAAATATATATTGTACCTAAAGCAAGCCAGGCCCCCAGATTCAGTGACCAGTAATCATTGCTGATACAGCTAACGTTGCAGGTTTGAGCAGCCTTTCAGTCGTCATCCTTGTGTCAGCTGAAGCCCTTTGTGAAAGGGGAATGGATACACAGGTTAGTTCTCTGCAGACACCCCTTTACTTAGTGGCTGCCTGAAGAATTTGTACCGCTTCAGACCAGATTGGTTTTCTTTTAGCCACAGAGACCTCTTTTGTAGTCACTGCTGGATCACGTGAAACAATTCCAGACACAGTCTAAGGACTCTTTTTTTTAACTGTTTGGACAGAGTTGGCGTTCCCTGTTTCAGCAGCTCAGGGGTGAACCGTGGGCTGTTAAATCCAGAAGCCTCATGCCAGCCTGTGGTGGGAGAGAGCCCTGCATGGAACCAACTGCTGATAAATCAATTGCAGCTGGAGGCTGGAGCTGGAGAGGAACGTACATTCCTTGCTTTCTGCTGCTCCTAGGTGGGGATGCTTCTTCCTGCTCATCGCTGTGGCACAAAACACAGTGCATGTTACCACTGAAGCTTATGAACACAGCCACTGTTTGTATGTGCATATGAAAGTGTTGTTGATGGGGAAACTCTAAAGCTGGTTGGTCTCGTGATGCCCTGTTTTTCGTGTTAGTAATGTTACAGAGAGGAGGGAGCAAGCAAGGAAGAGGACTTTAATTCAAATTCTCATTTAAGTGTTCAGAACTCATCAGCCGCTCTATGTGGTGCTGTGATTGGTGGCAGTGTGGAGGTTGCTGTGTGTGGCTGTGTGCAGGCTGGGCTGCTGAACCAGCCAGCTCAGAGCAGAAGGAAGCATCTCCATCGGAGGGACGTGACTGCAGGGCTCCGCAGCCCTCTCACTCTCCTTCCTCCCATCTCAGCCTCCATTCCTGAGCACAGGCCTTTCCACCGCCCTCCTGTAGCTCTCACTGGTGTCTCTGACCTGCTGAGTTTGTTTCGGGCTGTTGTCCCCAAACACCACCTGCAAAAAGAGCTCAGGGACTTTCTCCTCGTGAGGATCCTCTTTGTGGTTGAATTTAATCTCAGATCATTTCAGAAAGGCAAAGGAGGAAATCCCTCAGACCAGTCCAACACGAGCCACGCTGTCCGGTGCGCTTCTTTATAGGGAAAAGAAATGCCTCCAGCTTAGACCTGCCAGCAGCTGAGCTTTCCCATGACATCCTTTACCAGCGCATCCATCGGATTTTCCCCTCGGGTGGATTGCAGTAACCTGCTGGGATCTCAACCAGAAGGCTGCTCCGTTCTCTCAGTACTGTTGCTCTGTGCAGGGATGCTGCCTGCGCTGCCCCTCCCAGCCCTTGGGAAAGCACTGGAACCTCCAGCAGCCCACTGTTGTTGTAGGAGCACCCAAATCATTACCAGAGCCTCTCAGAAAGCTTCCTATTTTAACACAAAGACATGATTAGGTTTGCTTCTGTAATTCCACCTTTCCTTCGTATGGCAAGGGTTAATATGCATTCCCAGATGATCTCTTAAGTACAGCTCTGTGTAGTTCTTTTGTTTTGTTTTTCCCATTAACGTGTTGGGTTTTTTTGTTTTTTTTTTTTATTTGTAAAAATGCTCTTTTTCCCCCCATGTGTATTTTATTGTAACTAGCATCAGTTTTTTAAATTTTTTTAATTTTAAATGGAGAGACACTGTTGGGTGAACATAGTGGCTATGTTGTTTGGTTATATAGCCTTTGAATGTCTGTGCCATGGGGCAGCACATCTGCCTCGGTCTGATCTTAAGGAAAGACCTTTTATTAAAATATGTGAACATTTCTCTTTTTTTTTTCTTTTTTTTTCTTTCTTTTTTTTTTTGGAGCAAAAAGGAAGGGAAGGGAGAGCGCAGGAGTGGGGGGAGAAGGAAAAAGCCCAATGAAGGTATATATTTAAAAAGTATTTTTTTTTTTAATCTAAATTAAATAATAGGAAATAAACCCTTGATTCAGGTCTCTGATATTCCGAAGAGGCAGAGCCCAGCAGCCTGCTTTGCTCTTCATGCTGTCCCCTTCAGCTGAGACTGGCCTGCTGTGTGCCCATAGGATCTATGGGGAGGTGATGCTTGCCCTTGGTCCCCATGGGGCTTCCACAGGAACATTCCAGACCACAGTAAGCGTGTTTCTGTTGTTTTGTTTTGTTTTCCCCCCCTTTTCAAAAGGTAAAACAACTTCTCTCTTTTAAAACTGATACCGAAGGACCAAAGAAATCTAAGCTTATGGGTGGCCGTTGCATTTTACCTTCCCTGTCCCCATGCCCTGCCGTGGCCCCAGCTCAGCCCTCCTTGCACAGCCTGCCAGCTCTTCTCTTTCCTCCGGTGCTTCGAGAAACACTTCTTAAATCGAGGTCTCTATGAGTTTGTTTGCTGCTTTATAAACAAAGTATCTGAAATGTGAATGATTTTCTTATGCAGCCGGTGGGAATGAGGAGGTCAGCTTTGTGAGCTGAGCAGCATTCGCTGCCTGAGGCAGGGCAGGACAGGGGAAGGCAGCGCTGTGCCCCGGGCCATCAACCATCCTCCCAGCACTGCGTGGTGGCTTCAGAGCTTTGCAGCCATCCTCTGCGTGCTGTGGTAAGACTTTGTACAAAGCAACCTGGTGCTATGAGGTGTGCAGCCCCTCTCATGTACTGTTGAGCTTCTGGCCGAGGCAGGAGCTCCCTGTTCTGAGCTGTGCAGCAATCCAGCAGAACCAAGGGCGGCAGGGCTGGCTCCATGTGATCCCTGCCCCGTGCTGCCCGTGCACACAGGCTCCCTGGTGGAGATGGACTTTTTCCCCCTTTGGGAAGCGTTGACCTCGGCGATGCTTCTCAGCTGAGAGCTGGGGGGAGGAGGGGAGCCTGGCTTGTGTTGTGAAAGCACAGTATCTTAAAGGTCAATAAGCTTTTACTTCGTTATAGCGAAACAATATAGAAGCAGATGGCTTGAGACAACGATCTCCTGGGTAGAGAGATACCAAGAAAACAAAGCTGTAGCTGCAGAGGGGGCTGAGAGGTGTGGGGAGCTGCAGTTCGGGGCCCTGAGCTCAGCCCCAGGCAGGCAGCAATGCGGCACAGCACCGAGCTCCCCTTGAGCAGCCCCCAAAGCTTTGTGCTCTCCGTGCTCTGAACCTGAGCCGCGTGTGAGGCAGCCTTTCGTGCCGAACGGACTCAGTAAGCCATTGCTGTTCCTCTCTCTCTCTCTCTGTCTCCTTTTCCCCCATCTGAGAAGGAAGAATATCACCCGTGTTTTCCTTTACTCCTTGGAGCGATGGCCAACAGCAGCCTCGCCGTTACCGCCGTATCGCGCAGTGTTTCTTTCCAAGTGAAGTATTCCTGCAACCACTGACTGCAGTGGAGAGATTTCTGGGGCTTCCCCCACTCCGTAGCTTCCAATGTTAAAACAAAATAAGTACAGTATACATTAAAAAAAAATAATAAGAAGAATAATACACACTGCAGTATTTCTGGTGGCGATTCGTGGCCCAGCTCCTCCTCACCACCCCCAGGAGGATGGAACTGGGCAGGAACGCCCCGAGTCCGTGTAGAAGTTGGCAGAATGGTGATCAATGGTGTGTAAACGTGTTGTTGATTCCATGTATAGAACTGTGATTTCAACTGTCGTTTCTCTCGTACTCTGTAAATATGTGTTTTGGCTGTCGGAAATCTGGTTTAGACTCTTTTCTTGGCAGAATGAACTTGCATGTGGGGCTGGAAAGATCTCAATCTGTGTCACAGTTTCCAAGGGCAGGATGGATTTTTTTTTTTTTTTTTTTTTTTTTTAGAGGACAATAAATTTTTATTTTTTTGCTAAGAAAAAATAAGAAAAAAAAAAAAAAAAACCAAAAAAGAAAAGCGAAATAAAGCAGTGTGTGTGTGTGTGTGGTGTGTGTGTGTGTGTCCATGTGTGCATGCAGCACGGCCCCGCCGTGGCGATTGATGGGGGGAACAGAGCGGGGGGGTGGGGGGGTCTGTGCCATCACAGCACGTTGCTCCCCTGGACCAGGAATGCTTTCTTCCCCTGCTCCCTCCTGCATTGACCCCCTCAGTGTGGGGCTGATTTAGGATAAGTGGGGTGAGGTGAGGCGGAGCCTTTGGAAGTGGCACAACCACAGATCCAGATGGGTTTTGTCCCCCACTTTCTTGCTCAGAATGAGAGTGAGGTGAGCTCGGCAGAGCCCCCGTGGTCACAGTTTTGCTGTGTATGGCACTGGACATAACATTGCTCTCTTCAAGTGTCCAAGAATGAGCTTTTATTTAAGGCTGTATTCACTGCTTATTCTACAAGCACAGCAATCATCCGAATCGCCCCATTAAGGACTGTTAGTAATGTGACAGCATCGTGTCCCCAGCACAAGTACCAGCATGGGACGGCATCCCCTCCACAAGCAGAGACCCTTCTTCACATCCCACTGCTGCACTGTGCTGCTCTGCAGAGCTGCATCCCCAACATGGGGACAGAAGCAAATGACTGCAGCGAGCAAATGGCTGCTTTAATCCCTCGGTCAAGCCTGGCCATGGCAGTCAGCACCAAAGGAGCTTTGTTTCCACCCCCATAGACAGCTTGACCTCAATTGCCTGCAGAGCAGCCACAGGCAGGAGGGTGATGCTTTTAATTCCCCTGCAAACAGGGACCCTATGAGCTAGGCTGGGGCTGCCTGGGGGGGAGCTCTGGGTTCGTAATTAGTTTAATTGCGGCTAAAAAAAAACCAAGCACATACACAGTTAGCAGCCAGCTGCCTGCTGGGTGTTGCAGCTCTCACACCTGGGAATCCCAGGGGTGTTCTGGAGCCAGAAGCATGCAGCTGGTTAGCACAGGCTTGGGTGATGCTAGGCTCTGGTTCTGGTGTTTCAGAGCCCCAGTCGCAGCTCAGTGTGGTACCCATTATTGCACTGCTGGGTGCTGGGAGCTCTGCAGGGATGCTTGCTGCCTCAGTGCGTTACAGCCTGTGACCCCTGCAAAGGGAAACCCTCACCCCTCAGAGCCCCAGCAGACAATGTGGCAGGTGCTGCTTTATTACCCTGCACCGCCTTCTCACACCTGCTTGCTTTTAATTTAAAATAGAAGGAAAAAAGAGACAACCAAGGAGGCAGCCCTGCACTGATGTTGCTGCCCCACGCAGAGCCCTGGGGACACGGCCAGGCAATGTAGTGTTAGTCTGCAGGGAGATCCCCAACCACCCCAGGACCCTCCTGAGCCCCATGGGGGGCAGTGCTGGGGGCAAGGAGCCCATTCTGGACCCCCACATTTAGGTCCCTCTGCTCCTCATGCTGCCTCCTTGGACTGCTTGGCTCGCTGCTTGCGCAGCTTGACAAAGGCCTGGGCCTCCTTGTCTCCCTTCCTGCACTCCAGCAGCTGCAGGATCTCATCTCCTAGGGGGAAAAAAGAGGAGCGATGTGGGGTGGGGAGGACGCACGGTGTGGGGTTGGTTGTGGGGGTGAGATCCCACCCCTCCGTACCGCCAGGTTTGGGGTGGGTAAGGGGGAGGCGTGTTTGGGGCACCCAGCCCATGTCAGCCTGGTCCTCATCAGCATCCAGGCCCGGCACGTGGCACAGTGGGAAGAAAGCTTCTCCCTCCAGGTCGTTGGCACCCAGAGTGTCGTAGTCGAAGACAGTGAGCAGGAGACAAGCCCCGTCCTGGCGGCATTTCTCAGAGGGGATGAGGCTATGGGGTGGGACACACGGGGACGTCTCATCCCATCATTCACTCCCCCCATTTTGAAGCTGTGGGGTGGAAGCCCATAGGACACCCCAATTTCCCCTGCTGTGTGTCAACCTCTTTCCCCCCAGCGTCAGCCCCAGGAGAGCAGACAGGAGGTGAAAACCCACCGCAGGACCCACGTCTGTGGGGTAGGGATGGGGAGGTGGGGGCTGCTGGGTGCTGAGCTCTACGTACAACTCGAAGGCTTCATCGAAGAGGGGGTGCAGCTCATTCCTCTTGCATTGGGTGCTGCGGGCCACCACCTCGGGAAACTCATGCCGGGGCTCCAGGGTGAGCTGCACGAAGGGGTCACTGGAGCCTGGCAGGGTGCAGCCATCAGCCCTCTGTTTATGGGGCATCCTGGGCATCATCCAGAGCACCCGGCCCTGCGACGGGGCTGAGACATCCCTGCCTGGCCCACGGTGACTCCATACAGGGAAATAATCCCCTTCTTCCCTCAGCAGACCCTGGGTTGCAGCCCTGTGCTCTCACCGTTGGAGTCCAAGGGGATGAGGTTGGCAGCATTGAGCACCTCCACGCGCAGCTTCTGCTCCGAAGGGCGGTACAGCGCTTTGATGGTCACAGCCCCGTACTTCTCTGAGCTGATGCCCAGCTGCACAGCATGGTAGAGGGAGCGTTACGGGGGCCTGGGGGCATCCTCCCAGCTGCCACAGACCCCAGCACTGGGATAAAACCACTGCTGACAGGGCAAGGACTGAGGGAGGCCGTGGGCAGGCTGTGTGGGGGGCCCTGACTCCCACCTGCTCCTGGATCCTGTTGCTGAAGTACTTCTGGATGAGCTTGCGGCTGGTGGAGGAGCAGAGGGCCAGGCGGCTCTCCAGTGACTGCAGAGAGGATAAGGGGTGACTATCGGGGTCTGCAGCCTTGGGGACACCCCTCTGCATAGAACACCCAAAGGACATCGTGGCCCCCCCCCAGCACCATACCAGGAAGGCAGTGCTGTGCAGGGTGTCCAGAGGCAGCCCGCAGCCCTCAGCATGGAAGCACAGCTCCAGGCTCTGAGGAGGAGAATGCTGTTAGCAGCAACCAGGTGCCCACGCAGGAACCCCCCTACCCCCCCCAGGTACCTTCAGGGCACAGTGCAGCTTCCTGCAGTGCTGCACCAAGGGCACCTGTGGGCCAGCAGCTGCTGTCAGCACGGCCAAGGTGTGATGCCAGAGCAGAGCAAGGAGGCTGCGGGGTAAAGGAGGGGGCAGTGAGCTGGGGGATATACAGAGCACACACAGGTAACCAAGCTCATCCCACTGAGCTCAGCCCCACAGCCCCACACCAAGGACAAGGGGTCACCTTTTGAAGTTCTCCTGGACCAGGTGCTCATTCAGGTACTGCAGCTCGGACTCCAGGAACTTCATGAGAGGGAGGATGGACTGCATAGCAGGAGAGAGGCATTGGGGTGGGCACGGGAGGGGGGGCTGCATTCAGCAGGGCACAGCAGAGGGGTTGGGCCAGGTGCTTACATCCTCAGGCTCCTGAGCATTGCTGGGGGCTGACAGCTCTTGAATGTGCCTGGCGATGCCTGCTTCCAGCTGCCAGGAGAAAAAGAACACAGACACAAGGAGGTTTATTTCCATCCCCTTGGGTTAAACTTCCTCACTTCGGGTCAGGTGCAGGGCAACTTGCGGCAGGGGCTCACCTTGGTGGCCAGGGCTTGCACCACGTCCTGAATCTCATGGTCCAGACAGCAGACGGTGCTGTTGAGCTGATGGTGCAGCGTGTGCTGGATCTGCTGCTGGTCAATGACAGCCCCCATGCGCCGCTCCAGCTGGGCCCAGTCCAGCTGCAATGGCAGCTTCAGGATGAGCAGCCGCAGCTGCTTGATGTTGTTCACCACGATGCAGAGCTGGGGAGGAAGGTCATTACTCAAGTTATCCCTCTGGCTCCAACCCCAACCCCATTTTCATCCTCGTCTCTATCATCCCTCCCACTCTCATCCCTACCCTAATTCCACCCTCATCATTCCCATCCTCATTCTTATCCCCATCATTTTCATCCCGTACTCATTCTCACCCACGTCTCCATCCTCTTTCCCATCTTCATCCCCACCCTCATCCCTACCATCATTCCCCTCCTCCCCTCTCCCCAAACACATTTTCCCTCCTGATTTTCCACGATGACAGCCATCAGGTCCAGCTGATCCCCATGAAAGCCAGACCCAGGATACTGGCTGCTCAGCTGCTCAGGAACAACGGCCAAACCTTGCCTCCCCCCTAAGCCCAATGTCCTGCCCCAGTACCAACCCTGTTGGCTGCTTCACCCTCGTTCTGCTTGCTCAGTGACAGAGCCTCAGCCCTCTCCTTGATGAGCCGGCAATACATCAGGGCGATTTTGCACATATCCTGCATGGTTGAGAAGGAACAAGTGACACCAGCAGGGCAGCACGGAGAGACCACTATGTTGGCATGGGACACTGGCCCCATTCGCTGGGACCTGACTCTAAAAGTAAGAGGAAACTTCTGCTGCTTGTGTTTGCTCGACCAGTCCCAAGAGCACAAACCTCCACGAGTTTCACCATGATCATGAAGGCTTCCTCAGGGTCCGGCCAGTTGAGCTGCTGCCAGGTCTTCACGATCTGGGCATAGCAGGTGGACAGGTCAACAGTGGACGTGCTGTGCTTGTTGTGCTCCCCGAAGGGCGTCAGCTGGGAGGGCACAGAGCAAAACCAACCCAGTCATCCCCGACTGGAGAGCTGCTCCTTTTGTTTTAGGACCATCACCAGATCTTTCCTACAGCCACCCTCAATCTGTGCCATCACCTGACCGCTCTGGGGAATGGAGGAGATGGGAACGCAGCGCCCCAGGCCTTCCCTCATTCTCCATCCCAGTGTTGAACGGCAGTAAAGAACAGGGTGAGGAGCCCCTGGCCCCAAAGCTGCCTTCCCTCTTTCTGAAGGCCAGAAGAACCAGCTCATAGCATAAGCCAAATCACAGGGAGAGAAACCAGGCTGCAAGAGGGACCTCCGTGGTGGCATCAGTGCCATGAAACGGGCACGGAGGGAAAGACCACAGAGGAGTAAAGAGCCATAGGAAAAAGAACCCATTGGGGGTGTGTGAGGGAGCTGGTGGGACCCCAAATGCTGTGGGAGATTTCTCCTCCTGGGTTACCTGGTCCATCTGCACAGCCCTCTGTGCTCTCTCCAGTGCGATGCTGTAGGCCTTCTGCAGCCACTGAGGCACAGCTTCCTTGAACCACTGGTGGAAATCACTCAGAGCCAAAGGCCCATCTCTGTGGATGGAGAAACCAGCTGAGAAACCAGCTTCTCGCAGTGCATGGTGATGGCATGGGGCTTCCAACCCTCCATCATCTCATACATAAGAAACAGAATAAGGAGAAGACTCCCCTTTTGGATGCCCCCATCAAAACCCACTGAGAAATGAGCATAAAAAATCATAGAATGTAGTTGGAAGGGGGCCATCACGTCCAACTAAGGATCCCAATAAGGATCATTGAGTCCAAGCCTGAAACTCTTCTGATGATGCTCCAACACCAGGCCTGCTCTGGAGTGTAATGAGGGGTGGAGTGAGAGCGAAGGCTTTGGTGTTCTTCCACACTGACTGCTCAGTGCCCCATTCCAGCACCACCCCTCTGGCAGGCTGATACCTCTTCGGGAGGAAGTCCTTCATCTTGTAGAGCTCCTGCAGGTTCAGGTAGAGCTGGAAGAGGCTTTCAGCTGTGGGTTTGGACATGCCAGCGTCGACCTCGCGCAGCTGCTCCTGGACGTGCTCTGCAACCTGGCAGCGACAATGGGGAGAAGGGCAGCTCATGGGCCACAGGGTTAGGGGGGTCCAGCTGGGAAGGCATGGGCTGTCTGAAGCCATGGGGAGAGGGGCAGCTCACGGCACTCCTTTTCATGTGGCATTTGAGGAGATCTTTTGGGTCAGGCTAATAGATAAATAATGATGGTGACTCTAAGGGAGTGCAGGGAAAATGGAATTTCTATGGCTTGCTTTCTTCCCAGGCTTGCAACAAGAAGCCAAGCCTGAAGGCTAGCTAAATATCTCAGCCAGGCTTTAGACCTCAGCCCCAGGAGTGCAGAGCAGCCACAGGATCACTCACCAGGCTCTCCAGCTCCAAGTAGGTGATGGAGAAGAGATTCAGCTTCAAGGTGCTACAAAGAGAGAAACAGAATCAGGAGCCAGTCCCAACCCAGCAAACCCAGCCCATCCTATTCCATTAGAGAGAGGAGAGCACTGCGGGACAGAACTGGGACTGCTCAATGATCTCCTTTTGCAGGTGGAACCCAAGGACCAGGGAATGAAGCATCAAACTGCCTCATTGCTCTTGGTCCTGTGGAAGGTGGTTGAGGAGGGGTTTGAGCTCCACACCCCACCTGATGAAGAAATTATTCCAGATTCTGTGGCATTGCTGGAGATCTCCTATCACCTCCAAAAGGAGTTTGGCCAAGGCTTTGCCATTTTCCTCCATGCTCTGAAAAAGAAGGAACAGCTCATTTGGGATGCTCAGCGATACTGAAGTGACCTGACCTCCATTTGAAACGGATTCATTTCTGTGATCTGTCCTTGTGAGGCAGCAAGCTGTCATTGGATCCACATGTGGAACACTGAGCTTGTAGGGCTGGTCTGAGCACCATCACTTTGGAGTAGCAGAGGTGAGAACTGACCTTCACCATGGGCTGGAGGTGCAGCTTCTTCATGTGGAACCACTCTGTCGTGCCTGACTGCAAGAGAGGAGCCTCAGTGTCACAGCACTGAAGCTGCAGCACCAAGCCAGCCGTGGGGCTTTGCAGGAAGCCAGGTAGAGGTAGGGGGTGGACAGGAGGCCCCACTACCTTGAGTGCCTCAGAGACCATTTTGGGGAGATCAGGGCTGAGTGTGCACAGCTCTCTGAAAGCTTTCATCTTGCACATCTGGACCAGGACCCTGCAAAAGGGAGAACCATTGATAAAACCCATCACCAGCCCCTCCAAGACAACACCTCTTCCCCAGGAGGCCCTACACAAACAGTTCTCCCAACAACCAGACTCACCGGAGCAGGGACTGCAGCCTCTCTGTGGACCTCGCGACAGAGAGGGGGAAGATGATGCGATACCTCCTGATGAGGGACACCCCATAGGTCAGCAAGGACTGGAAGGACTCTGCCAGCTCTGCTTTCTGGGGGATGGAAGGGAACACGCTGTTGCGCACGGTGCTGGGACCGTTGTGCCTCAGTGAAGAGAGCCCAAGGCTCTTGCTGCTTTCCTGAAGCCCCCAGAGGGGCTGAGCTGAGTTTTGTGCTGAAAGCTCATTGCTATGTGTGAAACGTTCCAAATCTCAGCATGGGATTCAGATGCCCTGGGAAAACAGGCCATGGGGAGGCAGCAGGAATTGGGTCAGATTTAATAGTCATTGGGCTTGGGACCTAGGCATGGTTGGACAGCAGCAGCTTCTCCGTGATGGGGAACAAATTCCCTGGTCTGTCCCGGTCCCATAACTGTTTCCCACCAGTAATGCCCTGCAGCCCATCCCTGTGGTCTCTGGGCAGCCCCAGAGTTCCTCTGGGCTCTGGGCAGCCCCACAAGTTCCTGCCCTTCCCTAGAGGGAAATGCAGCCAGGAGATGTGAGGTCACACCTCCCCGTGTCCCACCTGCTCCGGCCGCAGGCGCTCCTGCACCCACTGGTACTCGATGCCGGTGATCTGGTGCAGCAGGCAGCTGCTGTTGAACTCCAGGCTCTGGTACAGCTTGCTGTACGCCAGCCACTGCCTGGGGATTTGGGGAGAGGTTGAGGTGAGCCCCAAGGGGGTGGCACAGGGTGCTCACCAAGGCTGTTACGGCCAGAATGGGGAAACGGAGATGGAATACTCACGCCATGACCTGGTGGAAGTCAGAGAGATCCTTTTGTGTGGCATGCAGGTACAGCACAGTGCTGGCATGTGGGCTCAGCTCCCCGTCCCAGGCGGTGCTGCCAGCCTGCCAGGATGCACAGCTGGGTCAGGAACTCTGCAGTAGGCTGGGAATGTTGTTCATGGGGCCCCAGTTATGGCCAGGCGTCTCCTGACCCCATCACGGTGCTACATGCCAATGTGGCAGCCACCAAGATCATCATCCCCCATCCCATCCCTGCTGCTCCTCTCTCCTTAGAGCACCTGGTGCTGCAGGATCTCATGAGAGACCAGCTGCTGCAGGAGGTGGCGGTGCACGGTGTAGCTCGGCTGCGTCCGGCTGCAGGTGGTGGCCCTCTGGAATGAGACAAGGCATGCAAAGCACGTGAGCAATAACCATCCCCTGCCCAAGCAGTTGGAGAGCTGGGAACACAGCTGGGGACACAGGGACGCAAACAACGTGGGGCTGGAGAACCCCTATCTGAACTCAAGTCGAAGCGTGAAGTGTGTCAACGCCTCCGGTCCCAGAGATGGGACACAGAGGATGGGGATCTGGGGGCGACCCTTTCTGCCGAGGCGATGGTTCCCTCGCTCCTACCTTCTTGTGGGTCAGCAGGAACTGCAGGTGACATTGGCCCCGGTTGGGGTACGTCTCTGTGCGCGGCTCCAGTTGGTACCACCGGTCATCCCAGCAGTGCAGGTCCTGTGTATGCAGAGGTGAGGTGCAGGGAGCTGTTCCACTGTGCTGGGGACTCAGCATCACTCCGAGGATCTGGGAGCTGTGCTGCCATGCTGCCACATCACCTCCCCAGCCTTCACTCACATCCAGGGCTCACCTTCAGACGGAGGACCACATTCCCCAGGAAGTCATCCTGCCCTTTGTCCTTCCGAGCATCCTTAAAGATCCTGAAAGACAGGAGCAAGAGGATGAAAGGATCCACACAGCCACCAACAGGCTGTGATCCAGACAAAGCAAGGCAATATGGAGACAGCAGAGAACTGCTGCCCTCCCTCCCATCCTCCAAGGACATTCAGTGAACCCAGGGAGCAAACACACGATGCCCACAGCCCCACGTGGCAGCACGCACCGTTTGAGGCCATGGAGGTCCGTCAGCTCGCCCAGTTTGTGCCGCACTGATTCCACCGTGTCTGAGTCCCTGGGAGCAGAAGCAGCAAGGGAAAGGAATTCATGTGATCAGAGAACATTCCAAGGGGAAATGGAGTCCAAGGGGATTTTTGTGCTTGGAAACGTGTGCAGATCTGAGGGTCACCCCACTGACCCTCCCAGCCCCATGCTGGAAGGCAGAACCCTGCTCCAGCTGTACTCACCACATGTCCAAGTAGAAGCTGGCTGTTTCCATGTCTTCAAACTCCCTGGAAGGAATGGTTAGCAGCACACGTCAGGACAGCGGCCTTTGAGAGGTGGGGATGGAAGTGGAAATAGACAGAGGTGGAAGTGAAGATAGATGGAGGTGGAGATAGAGATGCAGATGGAGATGAGGTGGAAGCAGAGATGGAGAGACAGAGAAGTGGAAATGGAGACCCCAGCCCACCCCACACAGCCTCAGAGCCCTGAGACCCCTTAGTAGCAATGGGAGGAACGGGTGGCAGATTACAGGATAAACGTCTCATCCCACACCGGGTTGAGGGTCTGGCTGATGATTTGGGTGCGATGGATCTGGTCTTCAGGGATGAGGTCCTTGACCACAGCCTTCAGCCTCCTCTTGCTGTTGGGGTGGGCTGGCTCCTGGCTCTTGGACTCGATGCCCAGCAGGCAGTACGGGTCGCTGTACCCTGCGAGAGCCAGCAGTGCTGTCCCCACTGAGAGCAGCAGCTGCACTCTTTCTGCAAAGCCACCCACCCAGCTCTGCTTACCGCTGACGTCTTTACCCAAAATCCCCTTGGCTTCTTTCACAGTTGCTTTCAGACAAAAAATTGGGCTCTGGCAGAGAGAAAAGATTGCTTAACGGAAGGGGAAAAGCAGCCACAGTGTTTGCTGCTGGATGCACCCCAGGAGGTGATGCTGCTGCGTGCTCAGCTGGGTGTCACTGACCCCAGGAAACGGTTCAGTGCCCCCTGTCACAAACAAGCTCAGTTCCTGCACAGACCTGGGGCATCCCAAACCCAAACACCCAAATCCAGCAGCACCCCAGCACAAAGCCCACCCTGCTCCGTACCTCCAGCTCCTGGACCTGCTGCATGATGGTCCTGTGCTCCTCTGCATCCATGCCAAAAGCCTGTTACAAACATTAGGGCTGGTAACGGATGTGGCCCTGCTGATGGTGGCTGGAGGGCAGCCAAGGACTTTCCAGCTGGAGCAGCAGGAAGGCTGGGAGAGCTCATCAGGGAGAGCCTTCTGAGCGCCCCGGTGCCATCCCCAACCCTGTGAGATCTTTAGGAATTGCCTTCTGAGGGTCCCATGGAGAAGCACCCACCTTCTGCACATAGGCACAGAGCTCCTGGCTGTCAGCAACGTGCTGGGGCTGCGGTTTGCCCAGACGGTGCCGGATGGTGTAAAGCACCTCCTCGTAGAGCACGGCCAGCTGTGGGGACAGTGCCGTCACATCACTGCCTTTACAGCGGCCTCCCTTATCTTTGCTTGCCCTCCCCCCCCCAGTGCACCCAGGGGATGCTGACAGCAGGGTGCTCTCCCCCCCCCGGTGGCCCCAGTGATGGGGAACCCACAGGAACCCACAGGAACCCACGTGCTCGTACCTCTTGCTTGGAGAAGCGGTGTGAGAGATCCATCTGGAGAAACAAGAGGGGAAGGAGGGATTTCCCATCAGGTCTGGGGGCACAGTGATGGTGGGTAGAGGGAACAGGGTGGGCTTGTCCCAAAAGTGCCATTAAACCCCAATGGCACTTAAGGCAATGAAATGAAAACCATTTTCCTTCCGCCTATCTTCACCTGGGGATGGCGACCCCAGTGGTGCTGTGTGCCATCTGGGACAGTTTGCAATGTTTGAGCCCCTCAGGGTGCAGTGGGGTGACTCAAAAACAAACAGAACAACAACAAACCCCCGTACTCATATTTTGGAAATGTTTGAAACTCATTTGGTCCTTTCTGTGCTGAGCACAAACACAGCTCACATTGGGCTGGGGTGTTTGGGCGGATGGATGAGCCCAACCCAAGACCCCGAATGACCTTGGGATCCTCCTAGTGGGAAAAGAAAAACACCCACTGGATCATCACTGTTTGCTTATGGCAAATCTAGGGCTGCCATAATCCCCTGACCATCTGTGCTGGGTTCTGCTCCACCACCACTGCAGGTTAACACGGGAGCTGCTCCTGCTTATGTGGATAACGGGTGCTGAGCTGGCAGCAGGAAGTTTATTGTTTGGGGGCTTTCAGTCCTACTTCTTCTCCCTTGGCTCCAGCACCAGCCCGCTCTGGCCACAGGCTCCTCACCCCTTTTCTCCACCTGAGCACATTTTCACCATACATCTGCCAGCCCTGCACCCTGCGCTCCCACAGCCACCTCGCGCCGAACGCCGTCCCCATCCCACAGCACCTACCTCGGGGTTCTCCTCCTCCCTGGGGAGGCTCCCCATAGGTGCTCCACCAGCAGCCGCCATCCTGGCGCTGGGCTGAGCAGCCACCCCAGCACTGCTCTGCCTGCCCCCCCCATGATCATGTGCTCAGAGGAAACCGCAGCCCCCTATCGCATCACGGCGACTGGAGCAGAACGGAAGCGGAGTTGCAGCACCCACAGCTCTGTGGTGCAGGAGTGGGGTGAAGGGAAGGCATCGCATGCAAATTCAGCCATTAATTGTGAGCGAGGGGTTGGGAGAGAGTGGGCAAAAGCTGTCACAGAAGGCAAAAATCATTGGAGGTGAGGAGGACACGCAGTGGTGGCACGGAGGGCCTGGGCTGCTCTGTGCTGGAGCATGGCAGGGGGACCCCACAGAGAGCAGAAGTCGACTCCATGAATGGAAGTGGGATATAATGGGATATGCAGCACGGCCCCAAAGCTGTGGGGTGAGAAACTGCAGCACACAGATACCCTGCGGCACCCCGAGCAAGTTTGGGCTGGGAACTGATGCAGTCACTGCACACATGGATGGGGACAGCCATGGGGTTTTCCAGCATCGCAGCTCATTGAGCAAAAGAGCAGGAAATAAGTGGGAACCCAGGGCTGCTGATGGCCTTCGTCCATGTAAACACTTCATTTGATTGCAGCATGCAGACTTTGGCACCAGCAGCGCCCTTCTCTCCGATCCCTATCAGAACATCACCCAGGCTGAGCTCAGCATCACATCCTCTCTGCTCCCCACTCTGGCGCTGCCACGTGCTGCCCTTTGTGCTGCTCAGTGCTGGGCTCAGCCCATAGGAATCCTGGATTAGTGTTCCCTTCACCTTGGGCAAGCAGCAGATGGGACACACAGAGGAGGAGGCCCAGCCCAGCCCTACAGACAGAGATGCTGAGCATTGACGTGGGACATCAGCACAGCGTGCAGTTCTTATCAGAGTAAAGCAGAGATGCGATGACGTACGGTGCTGCTGGGAAACAAATGCTTTCGCCTCTGAGTTTGGTTTTGGTTGCAAAAGCAAAATCTGTCATAGCAAAGAGCAACTGCAGAGATAAAGGCACAGCAGGCACAGCACCCCCGAGCTGCTCACACCTCTGCTGCTTCTCACCAGTAGAAAGTTAAGGGCAGGGCAACACCATCCACCCCAGCACCAAGAGCAGCTTCCAGAAGTATCTCAGCTTTCTGCTTAGCAGGGATAACCCCATGGAGCTGAATGCTCCCCACCTGCAGGCAATCTGCGGGACCTTGCACTCCCCTGCTCCCAGAGGTCACTGACAGCAATCAGTGCTGCCCAAACCAGCTCCCCCTGCACACCAGTCCACCCCCACGAGCACAGCCAGGGGCACGCACCACAGATACGCACAGTACAGAGCAAACCCTTCCATCCCCTTTAAAAATAATTCACCCTAAAGGAAAAACCTCTTCCTCTATAGGCCATAGGGCTACATAAGGCTACAGGCTGCCCGGGAACAAATTGAGTCCATAGTTAATAATAGGGGTTACAGCTGCTGCTTTGGGGTACCAGAGCTAACAGGGCAATGGACAGCAAGAGGCATCGCAGCCTTCAAGATTTATCTCATCTCTAGATGAGAACCTGGCACAGAGGGACCCACGAGCACAAAGCACTGCTGATCTTCCTACCTCTGCACCTGATAATCCTGAAGCCACCGCCTGTCCTTATCTGAAGCTGAGCAGAAATGGGCAAAAAACTGATTTCAACACACATCCCTCCCTCACTTCTCCTTTTAAACCCCGGCTCCGATGACTGCGCAAACCCTGTGATGGTTTGGCAAACCATGCCACAAATGGGCAGTGAGGGGAGTGGGAATGGGGTGGAGGGAGCTTTCACAATGAGGGCAGTGTGGGCCCAGCCCCCCCTGCAGCTTCCTGCTGCCCCAGACCCCCCGGTGCTGCCTGCCCTGGGTCTGGAGAGACGAGACCTGAGCGAGGCAAAGACAAAATGTAGATAGGCAGCATTTGCTGAGCCAGGCTCACAGCCCAGCTTCAACAGCACAAAGCAAATCAATACCTTTTGCTCCAGGATCCACCTGTCAGCAGTCTGTCGTCCCGGGGCAGGCAGGAGGACACAGCAGTGACCATGACAGCACAGACGGCTCTGAGTACAGTGGGTGCTGCAATACGTTTCCAGCTCAGGCTCAGGAGAGAGCAGCATTTCCAGCTGACTCACCCAGGGTTTGCAGACGGCTGAGTAATGGCAAGCCTGACTGTGGAGAAAACCCTTGTCTGAAATTCACTTCCTCACCTCGCATGGCCTGGCGTTTCAAACCAACACACAACAAATAATAATAAGGGGAAAGAAATAGAAACGCCAACATTTATCACTCGGTCTCACTCAGCAGAACGGTGTGGTGAGGAGGGCTCAGCCCCTTCCTCAGGCTGCAGGCATTCCTGAGCAGGTAGGCACAAGCCCTGCAAACACCTTCCCCAGCCCAAAGGATTTCAACAGGACTTTCAGGTCCTGCCATAGGACGTCTGTGAGCAGCTCCTGCAGTAACTGCTTTTACACAACATCTCAGAGAGCTTTGGAAATACCTCATTTCACCACAGCCCAGCAAAGGGGGGAAAACAGCCCCGTCTCGGAGTAGGGAAGCAGGCACCAAGAGTCACAGCACAGAGACAGGACTGCAGACATCAGCTCAAAATCTGTTTGTCCAAAGGTTTGCTGGATCCAACACGAACTGCTGCCCACGCCCTGCCTTTCTGTGCCACGGTGTAACACCACAGCACAGACCTCATCGGTTCTGACCTGCTCCTTCTCCCCTTCTCACAGCATGCAGGAACAGCAGCATCCATTAAGAAGCCGTTGTAAAAGGCTCCCAGCTCAAAAGCCACTGATTTAGCTCACTAAAATCCACGTTAAGAACAGGAATATTTCATTTCTTCCAGCCTGATTCACCCCAAATATTTTTCTTTATTTTTTTTTAAGGCAGCAAACACTACATCTTCTCTGCCGACTTTACTGCTTGCCCACACCAGCAGAAGAGAGATTCAGCTTGAACCATGGAGCCGAGCTGCCATGAAAGTGATTACAGAAAACTTTCTTCCCTGGAGCACACTTAGTAGTAGTGGAAGGATATCAGAAGTAAAAAGAACCAAGCCAACACTCAGATGTTTGTGCTGCTTGTATGAGAGCTGTACTGTAAGTGGTGCTGGCAAGAGACTTGGGAGCTTCACACAAAGTGTGCTTACTTACAGACATTAATCCTAGAAGAGTGTAAAAGGGAAAGAGCCCTTTTGAAAGCAGGAGCCGTGGTGTCCCAAGCTTCCTGCAGCTTCTTATGCTGAGCTGATGAGATACAAGAAAACCAGCACTGATGTATTTTAACTCACAGAACAGGGATTGCATTGTTCTCACTGGGCTGTAACGTCTTCTGTCTTCATGTTTCCCTTCTCCACCCACTTCTTGCTAAAGAAATCAAGCCCGAGTTGATGGGCCAGCACAAAAATTCATTAATGCAGTTATGTGGGAGGACAAACAACGCTGAGAGCAGAACTTGGAAGGTGTCCCTTGACTACTTTCTCCAGCAACAGATTACAAGGAGCTCTTACAAAGACAACCGGTCTGGAAATCAACAAATTTGGGTACAATGCTGAGCAGCTGCCTCACCAGTTTCTAACAGGAATTGGAAAATGGGCATCTGTGAAGATTTAATACCTTGCTCTCATTCCACCAGCGAGCCTCAGCCAAGAGAAATGCCCCTTCCCATCCACAAACACACAACGTTCCGCTTCGAGCTGATTTCGCTTTACTTCAGTCTTGGCAAAACAAATCTGCATTCAGAAGTCATTTCACATTAATATATTAATCAAACATTGTCAAAATAAATATATATATATATATATAATATATGCATATTTAAAATAACCATTTCTTTACATCACTGCAGTAGCAATTCTAGAAAAGTCAGTGCACAGAGAGCAGCGATTTGATTGATCACCTAAACTCAGACAAAAAGAAAACAGGAGGTGGCCCTTTTTCTCTCCAAGCAGGCTGCATGCAGCAAGTCTCAGCAGCTCCCGAGCACGTGATCTTTCTCCACACTTGCTGGGACGGATCTTCGCCCTCACAAACAGTCAGAAGTGAGTAAAATCTGATTGATGCAAAGCTTTGTACCATGCAGTTTCACAGCCTGGTCACTGATCAGTGCTGCAGAGGTTCTGAGCACCACAGACTTTGCAAATGAGATGAATGTCGTGGAAGGAAAATGCCTGAACCTTCAGTGCAAAGCGCTGACATTCAAACAAACTCACAGCTGATCCAGGAACACTGACAGCATTAAACAACATCCAGCTGCACAGCTCAGTTACACCTAACAACTCACTTCACCTTTTCATACATTCCCTCAAGTGTTTCCAGGGCAGAAGCAACTATTTTCTTCCCATGAGCGACTAATTCACCAGTTAAATCACAGCAGTAAGATACTTCACTGGCCAAAGTGTAACTTGTGTTACAGGGAGGAAAAAAAGTGCATTAATGACTACAAGGATAATATTCAGGGCTTTGTGATCTCAAGCCCACGTAGTGGAATGGAAAAAAGAGATAAGTGAGAATGAGTGTTCCCATGTGATCTGTAAGCAGTCAGATGCTGCTGATCAGCCCTGCAAAGGGCAGCTTTGTTCAAAAAAGGAAGCTTGTCAGCATCATCACAGTGCAGAGCAGAACAATCTGGAGGGCTATCAGATTCGTTGTGACAGTTGGGAACAGCTTGGTTTGTTAAGTTTATCAGATATCTGCATAATCTGATGGACACTTATTTTCTCTGAGATTCCAAAGGTTCCCACTGAAGCCCTTTCTCAGTAACAGAGGAAGAAGTTGGGTGTGATACTACAGGTTTAGAGAGCTATCTAGAGACATCTCTGTGCCCACAGAACCCCAAAGTAAAGACAAGACTCCCCAGGTGCCTTGTTTCCATGTGATGAGCTTGTTAATTATCACTCTGCAACAGCAGCTTACTCTAAAGAGGTGTAATTTAAGTATCAGAAGAAACAGAGATAAAGGAAACTATCAGAAAGAGAACCTTGAGATCTAGTGTTGGCGTGCAAAGGGAGAAGGGAAAACTGTGGTAGGACTGCAAACCCTCAGAGCTCTTGGAGGTAAGCCAGGCTGCTGACATCTCCCCTTGCCCTGCTCATATCTACCACTAAAGTCCAGGAAAGCTACGTGCCTTGAGGTAAGGCTCTACTCCTCAGTGCTATGGACCATGCCCCAGGATTCAGCCAAAGTGGGAAGTAAGAAAGCAACGAGTTGTGGAGGAGTTCTGTGGTAGCTTATTGGTTTTTCTTGTCCTCTGGTGGGAAGTACGGAGGAGGGGGTGGCTGGTCCTGAAGGAAAGACAGTAAAAACACATCAATTTGTGGCTAAGGAAAACCAAACAAAACATGCAACAGATCAGTTCAGACACACTTTGCTGTGTCACTGAGTAGAACTGCTAACGCAGCATGGCAGCTGTAAGCCTTTGTAACTTGCACATGATTCTGATTCTCTCCCAAGTAAGAAATCCCTATGGAAACTCGATTCCAGCACGTACCGTGGGCATGTAGACGTTGTGTGGGTTTACTGGGTTGTAGTAAGCACTGGCAGCAGCTTCAGCAGCCTTTGCTTCAGCTGTCACAGAAAAAACAGAAGAGACAAATTTGGCGGCGCACGGGGAATTTTTATAATCACAATTTCACATCCTCCTGGCCATCAGCTGCTGCAAATAAAGCACTGCCTTATCCAAGCTCAAGCTACAAAACAGCTACAATGCATCTGCTCTTGAGAGCACCAGGCCGGCCTTCAGACTGAGCTGGAGGTTAGAGGAGCTCCCTAACTGCTCCTTCCCAAACAATTTTAACTTAATTGGAGCTTCTAAGTTGACTTCACGTTCCCAAGGACATTACAGATACGAAACTTCAACAATGGAACAAAATTCTGACTTTTCTGAGCAATAACATTGATGCTCCACGTTCTCGATCTCACAAGCAATAATTTGACACCAAGTTTTGCGCAGAGAGAGAACTTCTGCTGCAGGCACCACGAAGCAGCTGTGAGCTGATTCCCTCTAAGATATTTCTTACCTGCAGGAGTGGAAGGCAGATCTGGACCACCAGAGGGCGGCTCCATGGGCCCAGGGTACGGCGGGGGCGGCAGATGCATGTAACCCATGTCTGCACCTCCCATAGGGGGAGCAGGATAAAACTCTGTCAGGAAAGGAGACAACGTGATAAAGGACTTAAAACCACCCCGGGTGGAGTCACAACGTGCAGCCAAAGCAAGCTAAAGGTAAATATCCTTAAGCTCAGAAGCAAAAGCTGCACAAGGCATCCGATCCAACGTCAAAGATAACGCAACATTTCTATTCCTCTCCCTTTTTAGCTGTTGTAAATCTTGTCAGCTCCAAGTATCCTCGTCTGCCACTCCCAGGCTCACCAGGGGGAGGCGGTGGGTACGGATAGCCCCCGTTGGCCACAGGTGGTGCGAAAGCATAGGATCCGTTTGGCATATAGGAATAGCCGTAAGCTCCGCTGGGGACTTCACCTCTGGAGGCTGGAGAAGGAAAGATAAGTTCACTTCAGCAAAACACCGATCACAAGCCAAGGCCTACAACAGACTTAAAGAGTCCTTATCTGAAAAC